CCACCTCCATGTCGGCGACGGCAGCCCCGACACGCCCGCGTCGTACTACTACGGCGAGGACGACATCCACCCGCCCGAGCCCGAGGACATCGACGACAAGCTGCGCAAACTCGGCCCGTACAGCGATGTCGCGTCGCGCGTCACCGGCGTCATTGCGCGCGAGGCGGCGGAGCGGAAGAACACGATTGGGGGCGTGGACCACATGTGGGTCATGCTCTCGGACGTGGCGGACTTCAACCCTGTAAGTCGCGAACATCCCGTTGTGATATTCGGTGAGCTCACAGAATGACGTAATAGGCGTGTACCTCCATATTCACGCTGCGGAATCGCGTTACGCTCGAGATGTTGGCCGACCAATTGACGAAACAGGGCGAGAAGTTTCCTCGGTACCGCCAGCGACTGGAGGGTACCGGCCGTCTGCTGCATGGCGCGACGTTTGTGGACGATCCGGACTTCAACATTCTGGACCACATCCGCGTCAAGACCCTCCCAGAACCCGCAGGAAAGCGTGAACTTGATGCATTGGTGTGAAATATGCATCATGCACAAAGGATCGTTCACTGACAAGCTTGCTCAGGTTGGCGAAATCATCGCAGAGCCGTGGGACCTCAGCGCACAGTTGTTCGAAGCAGTCCTCGTCGAGAACTACCACGACGAAGATGGGGCCGTTTGTGCGGTCATTGCAAGGGGGTGAGTAGAAATTGATGTAGACTACACCTGACTCTCTAACGCTGACTCGCATACCGTAGACACCATACACTCGCGGATGGACAGGGCTTCGTGATCAGCCAGCTGTACATGACGTCATACTACGACGACCTGCGCGACATGATGGACGGCGCAGCGAACAAGCTCAGCAAGGCCAAACGCGGCCTCCTCCTCCCCTCGGAGTACTCCAAGTCGCTCAAGCCTCTGGACCGGTATTCCTCCGGCCACCCTGCGGCGCCGCTCGTCCACCTCTTCCTCGGCCTCGTCTTTTGGCTCATGATGGTCTCCTCCAACCTGGTTTCCGTGTTCTGGAGCTCGTATCAGGCGCTGCGTCTCGTCGCTTTCTTCCTGTTCACGTTCTGGCGCATCGAGATGGTCGTCGACGAGCAGCCGGGCAAGCGTACCGAAGACCGCGAAGCGTCCAGCTCGAAGGTGTTTAGCATGCAGGACGTCAAACTCTGCCAGCAAGCGTTCTCCGGGCGGCGGCCGGGCGCGGCTGTCGTGGGGGTGCCAAAAGACCAGCGGAAGAACGTGCGGAGCAAGACAAAGCACGTCACGCTCAACGACGTTGTATGCTCGATCATGGTCGACGTCCTCGCGGCCGAGATCGAGGCCAAGCCCCCTCCACGTAGCACCTGGGGCAAAATCAAGCGTTCGGTCAACAAGGTTCTACCATCTCCGGTACCGTTCTTCATGTGCGTTCACGCTCTGTTTTCCTGCGGCGTCGTACTGAACGTTTGATCCAGCCCGATCAGCATCCGCGCGCCCGGCGACTGGTCGATGCGCAACCTCTCCACGGGCTCGAACGTCTACCTCCATCCCTCGCCCAATCCCAGTGCAGACGCCTCCGTGCGCGCGATATACGAGCACATCCACAAGTGCCGCCACGAGCTGTCGCTGTTCAAGCACAGCGTGTGGCCGAAGGTGTGCTTCCACATCCTGCAGCTGTCCGGGCAGGCCCCGGTCCTCTTCCCGCTGTCGTGGTTCCCGAAGCGCAAGGAGCACCTGTGGCATGTGCGCTTCATGCGCAGGTGGGTGCTTAAGCCTATCGCAGACGCGTGCCTGCAGTCATGTAAGTCCTCGTCCTCACCTCTACAAGGGCTCTACTCACTTTATGCTACAGTCGCCGGAATTCTAACAAAGTGCGTACACGCCTCTCATCATATCCAAGGGCCCCACACTCACCCCACCCCCGCACAGCATCCCCGGCCCCTCGAAGAAGCCAATCACCATGGCCGGCGTCGAGGTCGCGAAGTGGGCCGCGCTCCCGCCGCAGGCGGGCGCAGGCACCATCGCCATCGGCATCATCTCGTACGCGGGCGGGATCAGCATCGCGGTGTCCGCGGACGCGGTGCCCGCCTCCGCGGGCGTCGCACGCCGCCTCTGCGCGAGCTTCGAGCGGCGCTTCGAGCTGTACGTCGCGCGCGCGAAGGAGGTGCTCGAGCACCAGGACTAGTGGCGATGCCTGCTTTTGCGATGCTGGTGTATGGGATGTGCCAGTTGAAAACTGTTGTGTAGATGTGTCATTACAGTCATATACCTACCACACTCTTTACGCACCGTTCTACACCGATACTTTACACTCATGTTTCATACGAAGAATAATGTAGCCTTGTGCATGTGCAACAGCAGTCATGCGGGGGCGATATTTGGGTGATATTGGGGTACATTTGCAGGAAAGAGATAGCTGTGATATGGTAGAAAACATATGTTATGCGTACAAAAATAACCTTTTTCAGGCGCTACCAGGGCTCGAACCTGGGTTTTGGGAACACTCTTCAGAATCCCAAGTGATAACCACTACACTATAGCGCCGTTGGGCTCGGTTTGACATCGTGCTTCCAGAGCAGGCGCTTTGCGTGAATGCAGGAAGTCATCCCGGGGGCGTTGGCGAAGCGTCCTCCCAATCCACGATGATAAAATCATCGAGTATGCTGGCGTTGGGATCGACGCGGGGCTTGTGAAAGGGGGCCGTAATACGCTTCCAGCTTTTTATAAGAAAGCGGCGGACGGCGCGTCGCTGCTCGCGTCCGCGCGGCTTGTGCAGCCGGTTGGGCTTCGTTCTAAGGAGGTAAAAAATATATTTTCAAGACGTAGGCAGAGCACGCATATAAGGGTCATACGTACGGAGGAGCTTCATGCGTGGTGGATGTGTTTGCTTGGAAATATTGTTGCCATGCAACATTTTCGTTTTGAACCAGAGCGGAGGCTTCAGCGTGCTCTGCGCACATGGAAGCTGCGGCCGGTTCTATCGGGAAAGCGGACCTCCAGGTAATGCGAGGAGGATGGCAAGGGTCGATGACGGTTGAAAAGCTATATGTGGTCGCGGTCGCGGTCATTTCGCGTGGTGGGGGGTGAGATGTCGGGAAGGCGAAGAGAGCGCGAGTGCACGCTCCGAATCAAATACGGCAGCGCGAGATACTATAAAGTGCGAGGACAAAGGTATCGCGATCGGTGCCGCTGCGAGTTCTGCCTAGTGGCTTCTTTTGCGGAGTATGATTTGCGCACAATGGCAAGACTAAACACTGGGGATTGGCAACGCCCCGCCGAAATTCCTAGGCGCGCATGTCAGCGTCTATTTCGTATCAATTTGCCGAGAGTCGCGATAACACGAAGAGATCCTGATTACAAGGACTGATAATGCCAGAGCGCCAGCCACGCACGGCCGGTTAGATCATGAGAAAGTTCGTCGGCGTCAATGCCCAACGCGTCGGTGGCTACGCGAGGTACTCCTGGTGGTACCAGCCTCGCTCGCTCAACGCAGCCGCAACGGACGCGCTTTCGGAACAAAAAATCGCGGAATAACGTGTTATTCTATGTTCGTAACAAAATGGCTGGCGTGGAATTTTTATATACATGCGGTTTCCATACATGCTGATTGAAAGGAGGGCCTGAATGAGAAAAACCCGCCAGCCAAAGTGTTCTTTGGGTGTCTTTCCATATATTCTGAGCAAGTTTCAGGGCATTTGGATGTGCTGTTGAGGCTGAGGCAACGACGCAAGGTCGAAGGGCAGTAGGGCGAATGGGCGCTTACATAAGCATCGCAGCAACAGGGCACAAGCCCGAGTACCATCGCGCTCTCCACGAATACACACACTCTACCGTTGTCTACACCTTTCTACACCTCTATTACATGTCGTGGAACCCTAAGAAGCGCCTCTCCCCCGCACGGCGCCAGCATGTCCAAGAAAACCTGCGAAAAATACATGCCCGTCAGCAAAACAAGGAGAACATGCCGCCACCGGGTGCTGCTCCTCCGGTTCCTCCTGCAAACAATGTCTCTTACCCCCCACCATCCGCGCCAGGCATCCCGAGGGCCACCGCCTCGACGCGAAAGAACACACTGGAAAAAATGGGTCAGAAACTGGATATTGAGCGACAGCGGAGTGAAGCTCACCGGCGCGAGCTCCACAACGCGCGCCGACGCGAGCGTCGACTTCGCAGCGTCAAGGATACGTTGCAGGCGAAGTTGAAGGGATCCGAGGCTGAAAGAAGGAGGGAGGCAGTGGCGGCCAAGGCGAGGTTGGAGGAGATACAAGCCGAGGCGGTGGAACAGGTCGCGCGCGCCGAGGCGCGGGCTGAAGCCGCTGAGATTCGGGCATGGGAGGCAGAGGCTCGGATGGAAGGAGAGGCCGAACGACTCGGGGCCGACATGGAGAACGTCTGCGAAGCCGCGAACCTCCAAATCCGAATGGCGCAGGCGGATGCAGCTGCCTCCCGTCAGGCTGCCGCCGCTTCGACCGCCGAATTGTGGTCCACCCGCACGCAGGCAGCGATCACCTTGGAGGATCACCAACGGACAGCGGCTGCCGCTCTTGCCCAAGCTCATGCACTTGCGGAGGTGCGCGTTGAGGCCGCAGAGGCTCGCGCGGAGGAGGCGGTCCTTACGGCACGCTGCGAGATTGCGAAGGCTGAAGCGCAGGTCCAGGCTGCCACAGAGGCTGCACAGGATGCCTGGCGCAAGGCCGAGGACGCCGTGGATGGTATGCGCATTGAGCTGGGCAAGTACGCAGCGCAGCTCGAGGCGAGAGCGCAGTCGATGGTAAACAATGTTTCGTGGCTTGCGGGATGGGCGGTCGTGGAGATGGATACTCGCACACGCCTCTGGATTGCCGAGGCTGAAGAGCGGGCGCGCAACTTGGAGGCGAGCGCAGCAGAGGAAATCGAGCGGGAGCGGGCGCAGTCACAGGCCGAGAGGGCACGAACGAAGCTCTGGGCGGAGGAGGCAGTGGCCGAAGTCGAGGGGAGACTGTGCGCCGCGATGGAGGAGGCAGATGCCTATCTGGACCAAGCACGACAGATTGTCAGCTCCCATGCAAACGGAGACGACTCGGAGCTCACCGACAGCCTGCACTCACAACTGGAGGAGGCAGTTCGCGCTGCTGACCGTCTCCGTTCACAGACGGTGGCGCTCCGCAAGCAAAACAGAGCCCTGCGTGCGCGTGTCGAACGTGCGTCAGCCCAGAAGGAGCGCGCTGTGGAGAAAGCTTCAATACGAGCGGCGGCGGCGACGCAGGGACCCTCACTGGTGGTGAAAGAGAAGGGGGTTGTTCCAGACGCAACCCGCTGCCTTGTGCGCGACATGATCGAACTCGGCCTCAAGGTTGACCAGGTGAAGGGGGCGATCCATGCCGTAACTCGCGCGGTGGGGGCCACAGTGGAAGGCGACATCAGTAGTCGCACTGTTCGCCGTATCGTGCTGGAGGGGCTTGTCGCATCGCGTGTCCAAATTGCTGTTGAGTCTAAAGCAGCGCGAGGTAAGCATTGTGTCATAGAAATGTCCAGATGCAGTAACTTACCTTGTACCGGATTGTGCAGGCATCACAGTCAGCGGAGATGGAACGACGAATAGAAACATCAACTATGACTCACGATATCTCCATTTCAACGACGGGGAGGTCCACGAGCGTCGCTTTCTGGGTATACACTCAGCTCCCAACCATACGAGCGACTCCCAGCTCCGGGGATGGCAGGAACTCACCGGGACGATATTCGACACATACAACGCGAGCCCACAGGGCCAGGCTGACCCGATCGATGCCCGCTCCTTCCTGCAGAAGGTCCATGGCATGCTGACCGACCATGCAGAGGATCAGAAGCGCCTGAAGAAGCTGTTTGAGGAGTGGAAGCGTGGTGCCGACCGTGAGCTGCGTGGCGAACGCGCAATGGAGGAGCTCGCACCCCTGGACCTTCTTCCCATCTTGGCAGAGGAAGCCGCCGCCGCCGTCGAACGCGCGGGTGGCACGGACGCGTGGGCGCAGCTCAGTCCCGACGAGCTCGATGCGGAGAACCTATGTATCCGCAAGTCAATCATCAAGCGTCTCGGAGAAGCGGCCTACAACAACCTACCGGAGGCTGACAAACAGGTCGCGGACCTCTTCGTGCACGCGGGCTGTTGTATGCATAAGGAACTGAACGCTGTGAAGGGCGGGAACACTCGCCTGATGGGCTACTGGGCGAAAGCCGGTGTACAGCCGCCTATTCTCCTCATGAACCGCGACAACGATGCCGCGACACGGGCGGGCTCCGTCGCCAAGGCGCAGGCGGAGGAAAGGTCCTGCGGGGGTGGGGTCAAGCTGGCGGAGCTCGCGGGCGCACTCTTTCGTCATAAGGACGATAAGAAAGGCCAACAAGATGCCACGCGGTTCTTCTTCGAGTCGACACTTGGATTCCAGTTCAGCTTCCCCGACACCAGCAACACTCGCTATCAATCATACTGCGAGGCGGCCGGAGAGCTACTAGTGCACTTACAGTATTACCGGGGCTTCCTCGACATCGTGCGGGACAAGAAGGACAGCGGGCGGTTCAATCACCTCGAACACAACGTCTGGAAGGGGCTCCATGATGCCCCAACCTTGACAGAGCTGTGCGTCCTGGCTCTATACGGACAAGCAATCAGCCATCCATATATTCGAGAAGCTCGCGGCCCACAAGACGGGCTTACGAATCATCTGTCCCTCGGCCCTCTGCACGACCGTGTCAAGGCTCATATCGCACGTCTCATTGCGAACCCCGAGCTGCTTTTCGCTCCGGACGCATCGTATGAGACCGGATCGCTCGACGGGCGACTGTGGGAGAGGCCTGAGGTCATCGTCAGCATCCACCAGCTTATGCCAAAATTGCCTAACCTCAGGGACGCCTTCATTGAGTTCCTCAGGGGGAGCTTGGAGACCTGGGAGCGATTTACCGCAGAGTTTGCACCGGGTGGAACCATCGCGAAGCTCTCTGCCTTGCAGCGAGAGCTTGCCTGGATGCCGTCGACCAACGATGAAAACGAGGGCGCCTTGGGCGCATATCGGATCGGAGCGAGGGATTCTCCTAATATGTCACTCGGTCAGCACAACGCCCGCCACATGTACAAGCTAAACGACACCTCGACGTACATTGCAACCTCGGCCACCCGGGAGGAGCATCGCTTCTACCGCCGTGAGGCCCGCATCATCGACTCCAGTGGACTCGAGAAGAAACGGCGCGCTGATATCGCGGCGGAGAGCGAGCGGGTTGCCAAGAAGCGGAAGGGAGAGCGGGAGGCGAGGGCGGCGAAGAAAGCGGCGAGGCGGGCAAAGCTGGAGTCCGTGCAGGTCATAATCGACCTGTCGCGGCTCACGATGGAGAAAACGACCGTCAAGCTCCTCGATGAACAGCTCGATTGGCATCGGATGTTCGTCGACACTGGCCCCAAGGACGAGAAGCTGATTCCTATCAAGAAACTCTTGCCTACGAAGGACCTCAAGCTCAAGGCCCTGGTCGCCGCGGTGGAACGTTACAATAGCATGCCTCACCCCCCGATCGCTTTGACGAGCTCTCCCGGAGACGACGTGGAGGAGGAGGAGGAAGGGTATAGCAGCGAGGAGGGGTTTGAGGAGTAGAGGGGATGTGGGAACGTCTGGGAAGCCTCACTTACTCGGCGTGCTGATGACAGATGCCATCGATCTTCTCTGACGTCTTCTATTCCCCCGAAAGGGCAATCTCAGTGACTTGTCGCTATTCTTGTGTTCACATATCCGTGCGGCGGTGTGTACTAGCATGTGCCATCTGCACAAGTGCCGATACCACTCTGGAGTCGGTGGCGCGTCGAGTATATGCTAAGCGAGCCGATCGCGTTCAGGTCCTCGATCGCGTTGCTCTCGCTTAGATGTTGATAACTGGCGCTCGATAAACCAAAGCGGCGCGATATGATTGAGATGGCGTGGAGAGACCGTGAGACTACATTACATACGCAGCACACTTTCGCAAGGGGCGTTGCCAATCCCCATAAACACGAAGAATGGAGGGGGCCACGCACGGCGGACGGCGGCACGACGGACAAAGCGATAAATCGCATCCCGGGAAAATCCCGCGAAATCCAAACTGTCCCTGGAAAACGACGGGAAAGGATACCTGCTCTGGGCGCTTAGGTCACGTTCCAAGGAAAGGAAAGACTTCGCGGGATTTTCCTACCAATTTCCCGCCTCGCGAGATACCGCTTTACCCGCCGTGCGGCGGCGACGGAGGCATGACGCGGTGGCGGGGGAGCACTTCAGCGGCACAATAGCGGGTAGTTTCGTTGAACCCGATAGAGGATTAGTGAGATGTAGGCCAGTTTGCACTGCGGCAACCGTCTGCGCTCGCGGTGAGAGAGAAAGGAGGGTACAACGTACCGGCCAATTTCAGCGACCTCTTCTCCAACGCGCCAGCCAATCACATATGGGTCGCGTTATCGGACCCGGCCTTTTTACCTGTATGTTGAGTAAGTAGGTCAGAGGGCATGGGATGCGAGCCGAGCATGCGTCAGGGACCTGGGACAATGAGGAAGCTAAGTAGGGATGTAAGACAGGAAGTGAACACGATGCCGAGTGATCAAGAGCAAGTATTCCACAGCAACGTGAGAGCCAGACGGCAGAGACAGAGCGAACGACAGTAGGTGGGGCGCTCTCAGACCTGGCAGCATAGAGCATCCGAGAGACGGCGAGGCGAGGAGAGGAGAGGATGAACGTGTCGGAGAGGAGAGGAAACGGCCGAGTAAATCAGAGATGCTGATAAGCACGTGGCTAAGCACCTGCAGATCAAAGCCAAATTTTTGACCAAGTCGCCGGCGCTTTCTCCAAAAACCCATCTCTGCCGAGATCCCTCTCTCCTCTTCCTCCCTCCTCCTCCCTCCATCCCCCTCCTGGTCTCTCGCAGCGATGGATGTACGTCCGGCCCCCCCGATCTCCCCGAAAATGCGCTCTGATCTCCAAATCACAGCCCACTTTCGTGCAGAACCTGCACAATCTCCTGGTTCAATCGACCTCCAATGATACCGTGCAGTTGAAGGCGGTATGTGCTCTTCCTCGGTCGATCGTGCTCGGAGATGGATAGCTGATGCGGAAGGACGCGTAGGCAACCGCCCAGCTCAACCGGGAGTACTACAAGAACCCGGTATGCATTGCCGCACTTGCGAGCATCATCGCGAGCTCGCCAGAGCAAGCGGTAAGTAATCAACTCTTCATATTCGGCTATCTTCGCGTGTATGCGGCACATTCTGGCCCCTGGAGGTCCAAGTGTGAGCGTGGGGTCCTGACGGTCTTTGGCGCGTCGCGCGGGACATATACTCGGCACGGAAGGAAGGGTTGACCCAAGTGCGGGGTAGAACATGATCACCCTACCGCCCTATGTTCGCTTTGCGCAGCATTCGCGCCATACATCGGAAATGTCTACGCTCGATATCCAGGTAGAGGACTTTCAGCTCCGGGTGCAATCACCTGTGCTATACTTTCTGCTCGTCTTCAGATTCTTCGTCCTGTTCTTCATGAAGGGTGGCGTAGGATGAACCCCTCTTTCCGTACACTCCCTTAATTGCTTCTACTAGCCACCATTTTGATTTTTTCTCGTTACTCAAATCACCGCTTATATAGGTCCGTCAACTCGCGGCCGTCGAGCTCCGAAAACGCATTTCCCAAAACAGTGGCGACCTCTGGCTCCAGCTCGCCGCCGAGCAGCGCGAAGAGATCAAGGGCAAGCTGCCCGAGCTTGTTCTGTCGGAAACCAAGTACGTCTATGCGGTCGCCTCGCCTGGCGCGAAACTTACATTCCACCAGCAACCTTGTTCGCCACTCTACGGCGCGCGTGATCGCCGCGATCGCGTACATCGAGATGCCCCTCGGGACCTGGGCACAGCTGCTGCCATTCCTCGAGCAGACATGCATGTCACCACAGGCTGCGCATCGGGATGTTGGAATCTACATTTTGTACACGGTCCTCGAGAACATCGTCGACGGCTTTGAGTCCCATTTGCAGAGCTTCTTCAAGCTCTTCGCCACCCTCTTGAACGACCCTGAGAGCTCCGAAGTTCGCATTACGACCGTCCGGTGAGTCTTCGAGGTTTACATGATTGTGCGTCAAGGATCCTAATTATAGCGCAGGGCTCTGGGTGTTGTCGCGCAGTACATCGACTCCGATGACAAGGCTGACATCGTAAGTTCAACAGTAGCTAATTTGAGAATATCATACTAAGTCGTCGCAGAAATCGTTCCAAGACCTCCTCCCTGGTATGATCCAGGTTATTGGCCAGAGCGTCGAGAGCGGCAACGAAACGGGCGCGCGTCAGCTCTTTGATGTCCTCGAGACTCTCCTCATCCTCGAGGTTCCCCTTCTCGGCCAGCACATCCCCCAGCTTGCGCAATTCCTCCTTACATGTGGTGCCAACCGCAACTACGACCCCGAACTCCGTGTCCTCGCGCTTAACGCGCTTAACTGGACTGTGCAATAGTACGTCCATTCATTCACAGTACGTAGCGTTTGTACTAATCTCATTGGTGTACAGCAAAAAGTCCAAGGTTCAGTCCCACAACCTTGCCCCTGCCATTCTTGAGGGCCTCATGCCCATCACGACCGAGGAGGAGCCCGAGGACATCGACGACGATGCACCTTCGCGCTCTGCCCTTCGCATCATCGACTGCCTCGCGACCAGCCTGCCCCCCACACAGGTGTTCCCCGCCCTCCGCCAACTCATCCAGCAATACTTCTCCTCAGGAGATGCTTCTCACCGGCGCGGCGCGATGCTCGCTCTCGGCGTCTCTGTCGAGGGCTGTAGCGAGTTCATGACGCCGCTGATGAGCCAGGTGTGGCCCATCATCGAGGCTGGTCTCCAGGACCAGGACGGCACCGTTCGCAAGGCCTCCTGCGTTGCCGTCAGCTGTCTCTGCGAGTGGCTCGAGGAGGAGTGCGCCGCCAAGCACTCCTTCCTTGTGCCGACGATGATGCAGCTCGTCAACGACCCGATCACCCAGCGCTCGGCGTGCACTGCGCTCGACGCCCTGCTCGAGATCATGCACGATGTGATCGAGCAGTACCTCGGCCTCATCATGGAGCGTCTCGTCGGTCTTCTCGACACCGCCCCCATCCCCGTCAAGTCGGTCGTCATCGGTGCGATCGGTAGCGCGGCGCACGCTTCGAAGGAGAAGTTTCTCCCCTTCTTCGCGCCAACGATGGACCGCTTCAAGCACTTCCTGGTTCTTACCGGCGAGGGCGAGGAGCAGGAGCTCCGCGGCATCACCATGGACGCTGTCGGCACGTTCGCCGAGGCCGTCGGCAAGGACGTCTTCGCGCCCTACTTCGCGGACATGATGCAGCAGGCCTTCAACGGCATCGAGCTCGGCAGCGCGCGCCTGCGCGAGTGCAGTTTCCTGTTCTTCGGCGTCATGTCCCGGGTGTTCGGCGACGACTTCGCCCCTTACCTGCCCAACGTTGTGCCCTCGCTCATCGCGAGCTGCAAGCAGGCGGAGCACGGCGAGGAGGAGCGCCTCACGATCTCGAACCCCGAGGTCGCGGCGAACTTCGCGTCGGGTCTGTCGCCCGCGAACGCGATCGCGGTCACGGACGAGCTGCGCGTGGACATCGACGACGACGAGCTGGACATGGACAAGCTGCTCGACGTGAACAGCACGATCTGCATCGAGAAAGAGATCGCGGCGGACACGATCGGCACGATTTTCCAGGCAACGCGCCGCCACTTCCTGCCCTTTGTCGAGCAGTGCACGATCGAGCTTGTTGGCCTGCTGCCCCACTACTACGACGGGATTCGCAAGAGCGCGACGGACTCGCTCCTCGAGATCGTCCGCACGTTCTACGAGCTCAGCGAGCCTAAGGAGTGGACCCCTGGCTTCTCCGTGAGTATAGCGTTGAATTTTGGGCGTACATCGTTGTCTGACTTTTCGCAATAGAACGTTGTCGCTCTTGACCCGCGCGTTAAGGAGCTCATTGGCCACATCGTGCCCCCCCTCCTGGAGATGTACGAGTCCGAGGACAACAAGTAAGTGTCATATTCTCTTTTATTCGTCTTCGATATGCTCGTCCCATTGGATGATCCACCGCAATTTTTCGAAGCCCAAAGGGCGAATGAGATATATCACTCTCTTTCCACTGACATTCTTTCTATCCTCTTTCCCGTATGTCGGTTGTGAACGCGATCGCTGATGGTTTTTCGCGCTCTGCAGGAAGGTCGTGTCTGGCCTCTGCGTTGGCCTCGCCGAGACGACCGCAAAGCTCGGCCCCGCGTTCTTGGAAGGCCGTAAGTTTCGCCGCAATTAAGCCCTGCGATTCGACGCTCATGATATCCACAGGCCTCGAGCACTTCGCGAACATCGCTATCCAGGTCCTCGAGCAGAAGGCGATCTGCCAGCAAGATCCCGACCAGGATGAGGAGGAAGATGCTCCTGAGGACTCGGCGGAGTACGATTCCATCCTCATCGCTTCCGCGGGCGACCTCGTTGCTTCCCTTGCCACCGCTCTCGGCGGTGACTTCGCGAGTGGCTTCGAGAAGTTCTTCCCCTTGGTCTCGAAGTACTACGTGAGTCGCGGTTCATCACGATGTCAATTCATGAGCGTGTACTGACTTCGGCTGTAGAAAAAGAACCGGTCACTCAGCGACCGCTCCTCTGCCATTGGGTGTCTCTCGGAGATCATTGGTGGCATGAAGAGCGCGATCACTCCCTGGACTGAGCCTCTCATGGAGCTCTTCTACCGTGCGCTGAGCGACGACGAGCACGAAGTCCAGTGCAATGCTGCCTTCGCCTCCGGTCTCCTTATCGAGCACTCCGAAATCGACCTCTCCCCCCAATACCTCCACCTCCTCACCGCCCTCCGCCCGCTTTTCGTCGTTGCGCCCGATGCGCCCGCGGCGAAGCTGAACGCGCGCGACAACGCCGTCGGCGCTGTCGGCCGCATGCTCGTCAAGAACACCGCCGCACTCCCGCTCGACCAGGTGTTGCCCGTGTTCTTCGACGCGCTCCCGCTCCGGAACGACTACCTCGAGAACCGGCCAGTGTTCCGCGCGATCTTCCATCTGTTCAAGACGCAGCCTGCCGTGCTCGCGCCGTACCTCGACAAGCTCCTGCACGTGTTTGCGTTCGTGCTGGACCCTACAGGGACGGACATGGTCGGCGACGAGATCCGTGGGGAGCTCATTGGGCTCATCGGCGTGCTCAACCGCGAGGAGCCCGCGAAGGTGCAGGCTGCGGGGCTCACGCCCTTCGTGCCCGGGCAGTAGGCGCCGCGCCGCGCAGAGAAGAGATAGAAAAAGATGACGAGAGGTGTTGAACGAAAGAGAAGAAATCGGAATGTCTGTTGTGTTTTACCCGCCGCCTCGGGCCTGCTTCCCCTCCCTAATGATTCATGATGTTGTGCAACGCTATCGGATCCTCGATTCACGTCGGTACTAGCTCCCCCTGCCTCTCCTTTCCCCTCATTGTCTCCAGACTCCCATCCCCTCCCCCATTACGGTACTCGTTTCCTTACCTACACATTACTGATGCATCTAGACTATGTTGATTCTTGTTCTCTGGTCGAATACCCACAGCACGAGTTCGTGTTCCCTCCGTGTGCCCCGCGCAGTGTGGATTGAGCTGCAAGGTGTGCTAGGTACGTCCATGACGGCAATATCGGGCGGCGTCGAGTGATATGATCTCGCACATACCACCACGCTGTTGTCAGTATCCGAGGATGGGCGGAATCAAGTGGTCTCGAGTCCTTCGATCGACTCTGCACGCATGACTCTCCCGTCTTGCTTGTCGTCGTAAGGAATTCAGGGGACCTTACAGAAGATGACGCAATTGACAGCGTTCGCGAGGAGAGTATAAATATGGCGAGATGGCCGAGCGGTCTAAGGCGCCAGACTAAGGTGTTGTAGTGGAATTTGAAGCTACTCATTTATCTGGTCCGAAAGGGCGTGGGTTCGAATCCCACTCTCGTCAGAAGCTTTTTGCGTCGATCTCCTACTTGAAGTTGCAGCCTCTGGGCCATTGCGCAATGCGAGCGCACACGGGTAGGTCCTCACAGTCACAGCTCGTGCTTCGCGATCATAATCATTGAATCTGGCGCAAGGAATTCATGGATTATCAAAACGAACATCTCCATTGTCAATAATTGCGATCGCGCTTGGCCACCACTGGGCCTTTCTTCCAGTCCGGATCATGATGCTTGAGGCCTATGGCCCTCTTGGGCCGAGTCAGGTACGCAGCGTCCTGCATATTTCTGTTAGCAGGCTCTAAGCGTATGACTATCAAAGCAGATACAAGCGGACGTAACTCTGCCAGTGCATATATACCGGGAGGGACGCCTCACTGGCATCATCATCTTCACCTCTCCTGCACCCACCCACTGTTCGGCTTCTAGCTCGATCTTCCGATACACACAACATGGAACATACTCGTAAGTGTTGCTATATACTATGACTAGACAGCTTTTTTGACGATTGTGTGCCCTGTAATAGCGACGAATGATTTCTTCGAATTTCCTGTCAAATGCGACGGGTGGTATGAAGATCAAGTGGCCTGCCGCCGAATGAACGGAGATCGTGTCCATTTACCGGCAAGCGACATCCAGAAACTTATGCCGATCTTACGCGAACCCTACGCCCTGGACGCAAATATGAAGTTTGCAGACTCAGCGAGCCAGCTCCAACGTGTGCTCGAACAGCAGCTGCCGTCTCTCCAGCACCTCCGCATCGAGACACTTATAGGCTTTTCGGAAGACCACGACGTTCGCCTGGACTATCCGTTCACGTTCAACCTACGTGGCGCGGCGCTCCCGGGACTGTATACCCTGGTGGTAGTGGACACTCTCGTTTACTTCGACCTCCCGTTGTGCCGCAATCTACGGTTTCTCCACCTCGAACACAGGCAGGACGATTCGCCCTAAATGATCTTTCCCGACTTTTTCACTATCCTGCGCAACTGCACAGTGCTTGAATGCCTATGGGAGGACCGCTACATCACATGTTCATACCCAGGGGAGACGGTCGCGCCGCCCGTGCTGTCTCTAATGAACCACCGGCAACTCCAGGAGCTCCGGTTCCGCGAGCACCCATCCGTCATGCACAGGATCCTCTCCAGCCTCGTCATCCCGGAGCACGTCAGCGTCGTTGCTGCGGGGGCCACCCACAACAGACTCCCCGGCGGCGTCATTTTGGAAATGCTTCCCGACGACAGGGCCAAGCTACCAATCCTGCGATGCGCCACTTACGTTGGTGTGACCCACTCCGTCAAGAACGAGTGCCGCGTCTATGGAGGCACGAGCGGTCTTAATGGGAGTGAGTTTCGCCTCGAGGTCGGTCCCATCCACGCCTACACCATGACACTTGGTAACGTTGGCGAGAGGAAGCCCGACGGCGTACTCATCGACACCATGGTCCAGCAGGCAGTAAGTACCTATCTTCCACGGCTCTCCCGTGAAGACGTTCACCATCAGCGGAAGCCTGGCGCAGACGATGGGTTCGACGTGGCTCATCGCGTTCAGTCTCTTCCCGACGTCGAAAGCCTGACGATCCAGGAAATCCGGGACAAACCTGAAGATTATATCCATGACCTGTGCGTCGCGCTGACATCGCCGGCTCGGACGGCTAGCCGGCGCCAGGAATTGGTCTTCCCGCGCCTGCTCGACTTTACATTCCAGGCCGCGGTCCACGAGTCGGAGATGCTGCATGGGCTCTGCAACTGCTTTGCGATGCGTGCACAGAACGGCGCGCAAATGCTCCGCAAGATGAAATTCATCCTCACCTCCGAGACGAAATGGAGTGAGGCTGCGATGCAGAGTACTCGATGCGTGTTGGTTTATTTTGCCAAAGACGTTGATCTGACGGTCAACGGAGTCGGCCCCAGGCCCTTGCCTGGCAATGTGAGTGGATCTGGGAGCAATGGGCATTGATGGAAATCTGTCAGTCTAAGAACACGATAATATACTCTGGATATGCCGGCGATCTTGTGCTTGCTTTATGTATCTTAGAACGAACAATGTGTCCTGTACAATATAATACTATATCCTATGCTATGCCATGTCGGCGGCGGCCGCAGAACGAATCTCGGAGATCTCAGCGCTGGTATGGATCGGAGCGCACCGAGCGGCCGATCGATTGCATCTCGATTGCCCCGCGTTACGTTCCTGTTGCCTTCGTCGGGTGCGAATTTGAAGGCCCCGACTGGAGCGGTCCACAATGTCAATGCTCATGATCAGCAGCCTGGTCAGGTGTGCACCTCGCGGCCGCCCACGTCGACTAGCTATCAACGTGCGTACATATGTTGTAACACATCGGCCACGAGCTTGGTAATGCAGGTTGTGGGATCACTGTGGAAATAGACCGTGCACAGTGAGGGTCCACCCAATCGGACCGTATACGAGATGGATTAGATAGCATGTTACGATCAGCACCCTCGAGCTCGCTGTAACTAAGTTACCGCTTGAAAAGTGACGAGAAACTGCTGACACGATAAGCAAGCTTACCAAGCCTGGTTCGGTCCATCCATGGCAGCCTGGCAATATTGTTCCATCCTAGGCAAGTGAGAAGCGTGAAGGACAGCGGCCGCAGCGAGTAGGCGCGATTGTATAGCGAAGTGCGGCGGCGGTTGCAGACGGTTCGCGTACCTTCGATGGGCGCGATGCTATCCTCGGACCTGTCTGCAGCAGGGCGATCGATAAAAGCAAGGACATCTGTGAGGTAGCTCCAGCCAGCAGCACTCACCTCTCACTCGACACCCCACACCTCCTTCACCTCACCCACACAATCCACGATGGTCCTCACGCTCCACGGCAACATCCACTCGACGTGCACGAGCCGCGTGCGCACGGTGCTCGAGGAGCTGAACGTCCCGTACGAGTTCGTCGGGATCGACTTCGCGAAGGGCGAGCACAAGGCGCCCGCGTTCGTCGCGGTGCAGCCGTTCGGGCAGGTGCCCTACCTCGACGACGACGGCTTCAAGGTGTACGAGAGCCGCGCGATCGCGCGCTACATCGCGATCAAGTTCGGCGGCGTCGGGAAGCTCATCCCCGCGCAGTCAGATGCGCAGAAGACCGCGCTGTTCGAGCAGGCGGCGAGCATCGAGACGGCCAACTTTGACCCGTCGGCGTCGGGCCTCGCGTTCGAGAACATCTTCAAGGTGTACGTGGTGTCCCGCTCAAATTCCATGGGCGATTTGATGCTGATCGCGATGGTGGCGTGCGCAGGATGCACGGCGGCAAGACCGACCCCGCGACCGTGGAGCGCCTCAAGAGCACTCTTGAGGCGAAGCTCGCCGCGTACGATGTCATCCTCGGCAAGACGAAGTTCCTTGCTGGCGATGTAAGTCATCGAGACGTACAAGATACACTCACCGGGTGCTGATTTGTAATGACAGGAGGTCACCCTCGCGGACCTATTCCACCTCCCCTACGGCGCGCTGCTCGAGAAGCAGGGCATCGACTTCCTCGTCTCCGGCAAGTTCCCGAACGTGACTCGGTAAGCAAAAATGTGTGCCATCGTACATGCTGAGCATATCTGACGTGGTACTCACATCAGCTGGTGGACGGAGATCTCTTCTCGCCCGGCGTGGAAGAAGGTCATCACCCCGGCGTAAACGACGAGGCTGACAGCTTAAGTAGTCTCAGGGGCACTGTGTACTTGTAGTTCACTTCAATGAAACGAAGATTTCGCATGCATACCTTAGCATGAGCAATGTGAATACCACTTCGCATACTGGTGGTTGGACGCTGGAGGTGCATGGTCGGTAGCGGCGTGGCGGTGATCCTGACATATCACTCGGCAAATGCCGCCCCAGTCCTTGGCAGCCTCTCTCTTGTTCCAATTCGGCGACCTGCAGTGGCACTCATTTACGGACTGTAATTGTACGAATCTATAAGCACCGGGAGTTACTGGCAGAACTAACGACGCAAAAAAAAATCAGGAACCTGTTTACAGAGTCGAGATGACGATCGACTTCGTGCCATATGTATAGCAGAAACCACCAATCAACTCCGTCCCGCACGCCGCGAGCTCGTTGCAGTTCCCGTTGCACCCCTTCTTGTCACAGTACCCGACGTTCTTCGTCGCGGCCATGCATTCGGTGTGTGGGGTGTCGACGCACTCCGCGCCGCCGTTGTATACCGTGCACTCGCCGAGGCAGAGGGGCCCGAGGCGCGTGCTACAGTAGACGACCATCGTGCTTTGCGCAGAAAGTCGCGCGAACGGGTTGAGGGTCGGAGGGGGGCCGACGTAGGTGATAGTGGCGTTGGTTGTTGCGAGCCAGTTGAAGAGCTGGGCTTCGCTCATGATTGGGCCTGTGGCCTGGGGAAGTTGAGTATGATTCGGATCGCGTCGGGCTACTGAAAATGGCCGTGCTCACATCGTCCTGCGAATTTGCGACGTTAGGGCCAGGCTAGGTCAAAAAAATGAATACATCGAGACTAAATGTGGATCATATTGCACTCACAGAAGCAGACAGAGTGTTGGCTATACAAACCAGCGCTGCTACAGCGCAGCAGAGGGCACAGATACGCATGATCGGGGCTACGAGATGGCCTTAGGCACTGCGCGCGACGTGGCGCTCCTAGTCCTTTATAGGCGTTTCGTGTGACGCGGCGACCGACGGCGGGACTTCTCCTCGCACGATGGCCTGTATTAGGAAGGTCCATTTCGAACTTCCGCCGGGTCACTATCGGGCTGTCGACATCGACGACCGCGAACGGCAGTTTTAGAGCTAAGTATGCAGCTGCGTCCCTTCCACCAGCCCTGTACCTGGATATCGGCAGTGTGGTTTCCGCTTGTATGCCTCGATCGAAGAAGCGGGACTATTGCGGCGCATGCGCGCGCCGTTACCACTAGGCGTGTTCCGCGGACGTCACTCGAACGTGTATCCAAAGAGGGCTCCAGGGACACCGAAAGGAATCCCAGCTTCGCGAAAAAAGAAAGAAGAGAAGAGTCGGGGGTAGTCTTGCAGCCCTGTAGCCTCAGAGAAAGACGTAACGTCTCCAGATAAAATGATGAGTTGGGTAGCGGAGACTGACAGTTGACTGGCAGATAGACGGCAGGCAAGACTGATCGCGGCAGTGAGCCGGAGTCGCGCATAGCCTCGGATTGACCGTGCTCCTTCCTGAAGTTGGAGGTAGAGGTGTGTCGTGTGGGTACAGGGGCGCCAAATTCAAGAGGACGGCGGGCGGGGACCCAGGCACGGCGCATGAGGAACTGCCAGTGTAGGATTGGTTGCACTCGAGGTGCTTACAGGGAGTCTGTTTCGGCGACACCTTTTGCGATAGCATGGGAGAAGATGCAACCTGTTTTCGCTATATTGACCGTTGATCATAAAAAAAGTTACCAAACAGCGGCTACCACACCCTCACCTGTCCTCACCTGTGCGTCTTGTTGCGAACCCGTCCAACGCTTTGTGACCGAGAACGATGAGACCGGCCACCATATTCACGACTATCATCGTCTCTGACGCGGTGGTGGTTGCCAGTTATATCCCTAGCGAAAGTAAAGAGGTCAGCGCGGCCACGTCTCATGATAGCTAGCCCTGACTCACTATTCATGTCGCAGACATTAATCTTTGGTATCAACGAGGCCTAGTTGTTCCACTATGTCTCTGTTATGCGCGCCCCACATGCCTTACAAAACGACCACGAACAGAGCAACCCTCTCGCGAGTTGGAACGACGAGAGGGTTGAAACGAGAACTTTGATGATGAAAGAAAAACCGATCGGCGACCTCTTCAAATCACGTTGTCTCGCTTGCCTCCAACAACGATGAGCAGAGTAATCCGCTTGGCGGGTTGAAACGTTAACAATTGAGGGTGCGTCTGCTGCAAGCGTGAAAAACGTGGGCACAAGGGCATTTCGGACTAGGTGCGCCGGGACTCACTCACGATGTGATATGTTTTCTTCAATGGAGGATCTTCCGTGTATATGCAACCTTGTGTGTCGCTCAAAAAAATCATGCGTTGCACCGAGCATGGTGGCAGGAAGGAAGAGTGTACGCAGGACCGCCGGCGCCTACAAGTCGACTCGCGGAATATAGACGCCCGTGTTCACGCTCGCGTGGCGCTTCCCATGCCACCGTCCAAACCTCGATGTCTTCAATTCTTGCTTCTCACCCTCACCCAGCTTTGCTCAAAGCTCGACAACGACATATGGAAAATAAGACTTAAGCAGACCACTGAACCTGTGTACTTATGAAGCATCTTGCCGCCAAGGTGATTCCACACACTGGTGAAGTATGCCACGTCCGACAAGAGAGTAGCCTCTACTCAATGTAAGTACCTGCCCTCTGCCACAAGAATGTAATTGTCAATTATGATTCGCTTAATCTACGGAATATAGCGGCTTTGTAGGTTGTGGTTTGCGCCAACCCGTCAGGTCTACTTGAATGCCTCCCGGCGGAACTGCTGCACACGATTAAATACTAGCTTCGCATCCATAGCTGCCCTGACGAAAGGTGGCGTTCACGCCCAAATATAAGTGGCAAGACGAAGCGCAGGTAGTAGTCTGACAACGAAGAGATATTGAAATGGTTTTGGCTGTACAGCCCAAAGGGACGCGCGGAAGAGCAGAAGAGCAGGTCTAGAAACGGTACGCGGGGCTACGTGTATGCGTGAGGTATGTAAGTGTTCCAATTCGGCGTCCGCCGAGATATTATCCCCTTTATATCCACTCCAGCCTCATGACGCTAATCCCGGTGCAGGCTAGGCTAGTTAAATGTATGTGGTCGCTATAACACATGCGTGAGTGCCATCACGCCCCATGTAAACCTCCCAGATACTCACCCGTGCCGGTTCAGAGTGGCGAGACAACGATAGACTTCGTCTCCGGCGTGAAGCAGAACCCATCGAGGAGATGCGTCCCGCACAGCGAGAGCGAACTGCACGTGCCGTCGCACTCGCTCTTGGTGCAGAACCCGACATCCTTGTTCGCCGCGAGGCACTGCGTGTCCGGGTCCGAAGGGATACACGCCGCGCCGCCGTTGTACACGGTGCACACGCCCGTGCAGAGATCCCCCGAGCGCTTTGTGCAGTAGGTTACGATCGTGTTTTGGGCCGCGCGCGCGATGAGTGGGTTGAAGGTGGGCCGTGGGCCGACAAAAGTGAGCTCGGCGTCGGTTGTGGCGAGCCAATGCTCGAGCTGTGCGTCAGTCATGAGGAAACCTGCGGGTTCCTACGCGATGGTGAGTCCGCGTGCCTTTGGGTATGGTTTTGGTGTGAGAGTACGTACCTCAGAGCTGACTGAGGAAGGTCGACTGCAGGCCGCACTGACCAAAACAACAATCGCGAAGAAGAATGAAGTAAGGAACTGCATGACGGCGAGATGCTGAATGGCGCTGACTTGGTGAGTGCTGGTGCCCCTTACTACGCGCGCCATTCCTCTTTATACGCATCACTCGCGTACGTTACAGTCACTCCCGACCTGTCTGTCCTTCGGCTTGCCTTCATTTGCACGCTTCCTCTGAAATCTTCCAGCGGAGTCCGTTGGTAGCGACAGGACAGGTACTACTCTGTCTAGCCCCCTGCGTCCCAGACGGGTGTCTTCGCGGGCCTAGCCTAGCATGAAACCAGGTTGGCAAGGGACAGGAATGCATAACGGCCATCGCGCAGGCGTAAGTCCGATGTACTGAAGCAACAGGCCCGTCTCCCGATGAATGTCACCTCACAGCAGCCGGCTGTCTTTCTGACAGACCGAGGTACACAGCCCGGAGCAGTGAATGGCCAGCAAGGTACAGCAGCCCTTCCAGTCGACCTGCGAAGACAGCATTTGTCGGAGAATACAAGCTTCAAGCTTCGTTTGCCCCTGCCGGGGTGGGAAGCAGGCCTCGATCTCATGCAAGACCTCAGCAGCACCGCCGGATCGAAGAAACAGTGAGAAGATCCTCGGTGCGGCGCGCGGAGTGATACAACGGTATTACTAGACAGCTTGTACATCCGAATCGGAGCTTACGAGGCTGCCGAGAGAGGCGCGCCGGTGAGTGCCTAATGCCCCCGGTGCCAGGCGGTTCTGACCGATAGGCCCGCCGCCACAGCTAAGCTAAACATAGAGTGCGCAAAGACTATTCTATCCTTATATTCTAATGGGCAGGTATTCTGAGGTTAGTTCCACAGACGTGCCGGCGCATCAACACGTTGACAGCCGTTCATTGGACAAATACACGCATTACCACTCCAAAACGTGAAACCGACACGGGGTGCGTTCGCTCCCTTTCATGCCGTGCGGGCTCATGACCTTCATTAACGACGCGCCCATGGGTCCTATGCATTCACGGGAACAGGCACTGTTGTGTGCAACCCACGCGAATCGCGGCAGGCGTGTGCTTTCGTATCCGGTCATACCAAACGGCGACAGGACGGACGAAGAGCGCGCTCGAGGTCGTTCAGGTCCAGGGCAGCAGCCGTCTACGGCTGCTGGCCGTCGCGGCACTCAGACCCCGAAACACCGACGCAACCGCAGGACACGACAGTGCAGCGGTGGGCCCATGTCAGCGCAGCATGAGCATAGCGCTGGAGAGGGACGAGTATAAGAGGTGAGCAAATGCATCGTCAAACGGCAGTGAACAATCCTCACTAACCGACCTTGCGAAGATCTCCCCGCCACAACTCCTCTCAGCAAACATGCAGTTCTCCGCTGTCTTCCTCGCCATCGCCGCCCTGGCCTCTGTTGCCATCGCCACCCCCGCCGGTGTGAGTCGCGCCGGTCTCAAGCATACTCACAGCGTGCTCACATCTCCCCTCAGGTCGTCGCCAACACCCAGGGTGTCGCAAGCTCCATCGTCAGCGACGCCGAGATGGCGAACTTCCTCGCCACGACCGACGCCGAGCTCACCTTCATCGGCGAGCCGTTCAACCCGCTCGCCAAGCGCGCCGCGCAGGACACCACCGTGACGTTCTGCACCAAGCGCGTCGGGAACATCTGCGGCGGGACCTGCACGGTCTACAACGGCGGCGCGACGTGCCTCGACGCGGCCGGCACGGTCTGCATGTCCGCCACGAAGGACGTCGGTTTCTGCGACGAGACCGGCTGCGACGGGAACTGCAACGCGATGTCGGAGTGCGGCACCCAGATGGGCAACGGCTTCTGCTTCGTCCCCAACACCCAGTCCATCCTTGTGTCGTCCCTCTAGGGTGACATCGGGTAAGTATTATCAGATTTATACTGAAGGTCAGTTGAACTCACCATGTTTCAGGCTCAGTCACCGACTGTGACTATACCCTTCGGGGAACAGGCTTTGCGGAACCGGTACCGGACTTCATTCGAGTGTATACAGGGTTTTAAGGATGTAGATTGGGTTCATCGTTGTGTTTTAGGGAAGATAAATGCAGCCTATACCGACTGTCACTTTGTGGTCTGTGCGATCGGCATGAGGAAGTCATCGTCGAGAACTTGGTTGTGTGTATATGGTGCTTCACTGGAAGCAATTCACAGTAACAGTAAAGCCGCGTACATTGTTGCAGTGTACAAGCTCAATCTGCGATTTTCTGCTAGGCGAAACCCAATAACTAAGCATTACCAGAGTGTTTGATAGATAGTTCCCCTACGCTGCGCCGGGCAGCCCGATATCAACAGAAGCTACTTGAATACGCCGCAAAACAGCAGCCGCATACTTCGCTATTGCGAACTGAGAATTCACGCGTTGACCATATTCGGAGGACGTGGTAAGTTTCTCTCATGCACGCGTGGATGCGGCCTCGAAGAAGCAAGTGCCAGCGCTCTCAAAAGAGAGCTCTCAATCCCCGATTACGGGCGGCGAGGTCTGAATGAAGGCGTGAATACAGGTTCGTCTTTGACAGCCTGTCAGCGAGGCGTAGCAGCGCATCTGCTTCATGTGCTCCGCAAGGGGCACAAGCCTTGCTTTCGTGAGGTCTAGAGGTCGCCGAAGTCCAGATGCGAGGCACTCTGGATTGTAAAGTTCAGCGCCGAAGACGGAGGTTCGGGACAGACGACGTGAGCTGTCGACAAAGCGAAGATGAGTAGAAAGCTCCCGGCTGCTTGTTTGGCAGAACGCGGCGGGGCCGCATTCAGTTGCATTCGGCGAGGAGAAGATCTCTTGCAAACTTCGGCAGGTGGAGCGGAAACCTATGTAAGGCAGCTAGGATGGTTCCCGACATTGTTATAGTCTTGTGGGACCGCAAGCAGACCCAGGATGCGGGGATTCACTATGAGAGAAGCCGCCGACTCTGAGGCGGTTCCGGAAGCATATTCATGAAAAAAGTGGAGCAGCGAGGGATGTTCCGTGCTTCTCCATCTGCAGATTAACTTAGTACGTTCCTCACATGGTCACAAGATCTTCGAAATGGGCGCACCATAGCATAGGCCGTGTTCGGGTCAGCAAGAGACCTGCGGCAGACGCGGAGATGTCGTACTCCGGTATTAGACAATGTTCTGTTGGGTGCACTCACCGGTGAAGCTGCCCTGGCCCAGGCATACCTCAATGAGGCCCAAGGCGAAACCGGCCACCGGTAGCAGTTCTTCGAGCGAGCATCCTGGCGTCGACCCGAAGTGCACAACAGACGAAACTCTACCGCATGGCACGAACAAGAGCCCGGGTCAGGGCACCTACACCGTCGAACCGCCGAGTCGTCGGACGTTGCTGTCGACCTGCCAAAGGCGCGGGAGCGGACGTCTGCAGCATAGTGCAATTCCAAATGCACGTATCGCATACGAGATGCGGCCCTGAGAATGGTGCGTATAAAGAGGTGAGATTGTGGGCAGAGAGACGGCAGTGAACAGATCCTCACAACACCCACTCGTCACCCAAAGTCACCTCTCCAACCTCTCTAAAGTTCCACCATGCAATTCTCTACCCTCTTCGTCACCATCGCGGTCCTCGCTGTCACTGCCATCGCGAGCCCTGTTGCAGTGAGTCAAGTCGCTCGCTTGCCTTTATTTCATCACTCACAAACATGCGCCGTACTCGCAGTCCGCCGCCGACATCCAGACGTCGACCTCCATCGTCTCTGAGGCCGAGATGGCGCACTTCCTCGCCACCACCGACGCCGAGCTCACCTTCATCGGCGAGCCCATCAACCCGCTCGCCAAGCGCGCCGCGCAGACGACCACGGTCACCTTCTGCACCAAGCGCGTCGGGAACATCTGCGGCGGGACTTGCACCGTCTACACTGGGGGGGCGACGTGCCTCGACGCCGCGAGCACCGTGTGCATGTCCGCCACGAAGGACGTCGGCTTCTGCGACGAGACCGGGTGTAACGGCAACTGTAACGCTATGTCCACGTGCGGTACCCCGATGGGCAGTGGGTTCTGCTTCACGCCGAACACCCAGTCTATCCTCGTTTCTTCTCTGTAAGCTCAACTGGGTGAGTGTCCTATTTGAGCTAAAATGTGTACGGCATAACTCACGATATTCACAGGAAAGGTGGCCCGATGAAACCGATTGGCTTGGTTGTTTTCCTTTTCTTGGGTATCAATGGGAGGGCGTCATGGTCGCATGTATTGGGTATAGACGGGTTTATATAAGGCAAAAACGTTTTGCTCTGACATCCCTGACCTGTCGGTCTTACGTCTGAAGAATCCTAGCAAAAGTGAGAGATATATCAGTTGAATTCAAGTTCCGAGTCACCACGTAGACTGGACCTCCCCGCACCCTCACGACGACACCCCTATCATGCTCCCAATTTTGATCCAAATCGTGACGTGCTTGACGGGGGCTGCAGCAATATGATGGATCAACATGAGGGGGAGAAACAAAGCGACATTCTACCAAACGCGCCCCTTAGGCGCCCAGCTGCTCCGCTGAATCACGTGATGGTGTTGTTTATTGCTATGGGCGTCTTCAATTGTTTTGCCGGTTGCAGCCACACCTGCTCTTGCGTTCTGCCTCGATCGCTGCCTGTGGCTCGGATGATCTGCTTGGCTTGTACTTGCTTGTATTAATCGCTGACTCTTATATGCTTTGCTAAATTGACTTGCTCTCTGTCGCGCTTTCTGTACTTTGGATGGGCCCCGCAGTAAAATCTAGGCGCGATACCGCCCCTGACTCCGACAACCACAAACATGCACAGGTATGCAACCTCTTCACATTCACATATGACTTCATTTTACTAATTCCGAATGGTCATAGATGATGCGGCTTCGCGAGGAGCTGGAAACGTGCGCCATGAAGATCGCACAGCTCCAAGCGCGCCTCATTGCAACGCTAGACGAACTCGACACCCAGCGCGATGCACATTTACGCGAGATAAACGCGGAGCGTAACGCGAAAGAGAAGCTTAGCCGAAAGCTGGACGGATACCTGGATGAGGTCACGCGCGCGGAGAGGGAGCGGGACGACATGCGCGAGCTCGTCTCCATACTCGTCGAGAAAGGTGTGTGTCTGTACCCTTCGGCGGCTTATGGAGGACGGGCCCGAATTACAACTTTCTCAGCACTCATGTCCTTATCCCCGGCTGGTCCACAGTGGAAAGTTGCAACAACCTATCTGTATGGCCATGCGGGCGGATAAATCTACCACATCCAGTTAGCTCCCTCGCAGCGGCGCGCACACAGAACCCTGCTGCAGAGGACTACGACGCAGTCCACGCTGCGGTCGTCGACCTGTTACGCAAACGGCTCGTTGAGGAGCAAGGGGCTCATGCTCGCACGAAGCAGCAGACAGATGCTGAGATCCTTCGGCTTAGGGCAATGATAGCTCGAAGAGATGCAGAACTGGAGGCCTGCGCAACGCACGACGCACACCATGTGCTTCTCTCTTCTTCGGCACCGAATGACACTTTGCCCTCCCGGGTGTGCACGCGGCCGAACTGCGTCAACGGACGGGCAGCCCATGCCAGTGGTTCAGGGCTGTCGTGCCATCACCATGCGGCAGTCTTGGGTGGCGAAACTGCGGAAGCGGACAATATCCTAGCCCGAGCAACGTCACGTAACCGCGTGCTTGAGCGGGAAGTAGAGATACTCAGACAGAGTGTACGTCCAACAGCACGTCACCGGCATTTTTGCTTACCGTCTCCCCAGGTACACCAGGTACAGCATTCACAGTCTTCGGACGCGAAAAGGCGGCATGCCCAAGGCCGTCACCAACACGCTCCTGAGAAGCCCCTCGTTTCCGTCCAAGTCCAAACCGCCGACCCGGTCCTTGGCAGCGAGGCTCAATACACGCTTCCGCCAAGCCCGGGTCTTCTCCCGCATACGATGTCGCGTTCCCCGTCCCCATACGCTCTGGGTTCACGGCATCCCCTTACTCCAGCTCCGGCACCCTTGCCGTCGCAAGCTACTCCGTTCGTTCAAGAACGAGGGGTTCCTACTCCAGGAGCTAGTATCAAACATCTCATGAGAGACATTGATGTCCTTGCTTTGAATATCGACGACTTCGTGGTAGAGCGGGCCGCGGTCAAGGCCATGCTTGCGCGCGAGCTGCCCAAGGTCCGTTCGGTGTTCCTGGCCGCATGTACTGTATTGACGTTGACACCCACAGACGCTTTCGACCCCGTCGCACACCCCAAGCGAGAGCGTACCAGCCCTTAACCCCGTTTCACACGTCGCAGACGAATGTGCCAGGTGCGCCATCTATCTTTCCCAATTTGCAGGAGGCTCATAACTGATGTCACGGTCAAACCCGTCAGAGAGCGACAGGAGCTGCGCGAGCAGGTCGATGCTATATCGCGCGAGCGCGCGCGCCGGGAGCACGAGCTCCAGACCGAAATAGCGTCCCTCCGGAAAGCCCTCGACGACCTCCGCCACGATCAGACTGCGCGTCCGCCACCACCACAACAACACTCCAGTCAGCCCCAAGCGGAGAGCGTGCTGCTTGAGGGCCTGCTCAAGGCGCCATCAGCCCTATCACCCCGCGTCTCCCCCACGCTCGTCCCGGACGACGCGCGCGCGCTCCAGCTGGACAAGGCGCAGGCCGATGGGCAGCGCGCCCATGAATCTCACTGGGACGACGAAGACCGTCAGCGCATCAACGAGCCCGAGCTATCCAGGGAGGCACCTGAGTTCGGCGAGCAGTCCATTGAGTTCGGCGAGCAGTCCATTGAGTTCGGCGAGCAGTCCATTGAGTTCGGCGAGCAGTCCATGGAAATCGCGACCCCTCTGCAAACGAACACCATCCTCTCGCTTCGCGAGGACGACTGGCCGATACCCCCGAGTGACTTCCCGGTGCGCGCGTCCGCCGACGCCGACGTCGACCCAGCAGGAATCCCACTTCCCACGTCCCCGGATATCGAGGGCGACCCGGCACCGCCGCCCCGCGCGCCCTCGCCGCTGTTGGCCTTTGCCTCATCTCCGCCGCCCCCGTCCTCGCCCTCGCCTCCTCCGCTCTATATCGCTGCCCCACACGTACCTTTGGACCTCCTCGCGCGCATCGAGAGCGCGGCGCAGGAGCGCGTCGCGTCCATCGAGCGCGAGATCGCCGCGACCCATCGCGAGCTCGAGGACCGGGAGGCGGCGCTCGCGAGCGTCCGCGCGCGCCTGCCTCCTGAGTAGACAGACGCCCGCGCGTCGGGACGCTGACGCCGTCGCTGTCGTTTTGCAGGAATGTGCAGATGCACTTCCCGCCTGGGACACGGTGCTCGCTGTGCGCCCAGGACATACTATTCAAGCGACGCGTCCATCCCCGCGCGCTACCTCTTGCCGCTATGACATACCGCCGCCATGACATACCGCCGCGGCCTCGCACGACACCTTGGACAACCCCAGTGACTCAGCTGTCCTCGGCGGCACTCCGCCCGACCTGCTTGCTCATCGCCGCACGTCATCTCTTCGGTTGCCCGTCCGAGGGGGGCACGGCGCGTCGAAAAGAGGGTCGTGCTGCGAGCGCACAGCTTGTGGGCAGGACGCCAATACGCCCGGGGGCTGTCCTCGCCCGCCGCTGCCCGTGCTGTGTCTTCTGATGGCGCTGAGGGAGCCTGGGACGCGCGCGGGGCGCGGTGCTCATCGTCAAGGGTCCTTCTACGGGGACGCTCCGCCGACTGGGTGGCGCCGCAGGCGCCATCGAGTCGGGCTCGGACAATGTTGGTTACTTACTAAATTACTTATGGGCGGATCAGCCCTCATTATTTCTCTCGCGCTCCCATGGGCACTGTTGTACGCATCGATCTCGCGACGGTCATATTTGGGTAGAGTTCGACATCTATAGCGCGCCGCCAGGCCTGTACATTGCTTCTTATTAATCACGCCTCGCAGAACGCTTTCGGACTGCTGTTTTCCTCTCGCGCTGTCTCGGCCGTGCTCGTCCGCCGTGTTCTGTACGATCATTTCTATCTGCCGTCCGCATCATTATCAGCAATGCTATGTGTCTGCTCTGCTCTTCGCCGCATCCCTCTTGGGGGCTTCCCCGTCAGCCTGCATCAGTGCCGAAGCCGAAGCCGGCGGGGGCGCGACGCGGGAAAGGGAAACAGACTGGTGCTGTGTGGCGCGCATGGCTGGCACATCACTTCCAAGCACCAGTCGCGCGATAATAGAAAGCGAGCTGTACGCGTGGGAGGGGCATGGCATGATAGATGGACGTCGACGGCCGCGGAGGGATGCAAGATTTCATTCTGAGCCAGCATGACGGCGGATCTGTCCAAGGGCAAAATGCAAGTCCGCGAAGTGACGATCATAGTTAGGAAGGACAAGTTCAACGTGATGCTAGCGCGACCCGGAGCGGCCGACGTGAACGACCACTGACGGCGGGATTGCATTGACTGGAGCCTGAGCCCTGGGGATCTCGGCAGCCCAGCATCGCGGACATTGGGGGCTCCCGCCGATGCCGCTTAGGGTGCCGCCGCACCCGCGAACGATCCACCAGCTGCCCGCCAATCTGTCAGTGCCAATCCGTGCCGCTTGGAGAAGGACGGGCCCCGTACCACAGCAGCTCATCCCCGCGATGGCGGAACGTAGGTGACGTTGAGGCCCCGCGTGTTCGCCCAGGGTCGGTGCGCGCTTGGCGCAGGCGAACAGACCACCTCCGCCGGGGGCGCGGGCACGCGCACGTACTCGGGCTCCGCCTCCTTCGCTTTCGCGATCTTCTCGGTGGACGCGGTCCTGGAGACGGCTGGGGGCGTGTACGACGACACTTTGACCTTGCGCGTCTTCGAGTCGAGCGAGAGTACCTTGTGCGTCTGGTTCACCGGGTGGATGCCCTGCGGGTCGGGGCCGGGGGTTCCAGCACGCGAGGCTGCCGCGGAGAGCGTCGGGAACGCTCCTTCTGCGCTGCGGGCTTGCTGGATCGCACGTTGCCGCTCTTCCTCCTCCTTCGCAAGCGTCTCTGTGATCCGGGTCTCCAGCGATTCCACGAGACTGTCCTTGGCGGCCTGTGTGAGGAGCGCGCCACCACAGTGCGGGCAAGCGAAGTTCGGGAGGTTTAGCTCGCAGAGGATCAAGCCGCATGCGCGGCAGATGGGGGTGAATGGTGACAGCGCGTGCATTCTAGCTATAGACGTTTCGAACGGCGGGAAGTGACGGGCCCAATGTGAGTAGAGAGGTTCTGAGGAGGGGAGGTGTGGTTGCCGCGACGAACCTTGGCAGAAGCAGCCGCCTTTGGGGTCTTTGTCGAGCCCCGAGGACTTGCGGAGATCGTCGCGCTGCTTCTCGAGCTTGCGGACCTCCTTGCTCTTCGGTGGTGCGGTCTCAGCCTTCTGTTTCCCTTTCGCCTTGGACGCACTCGGGGCGGCCTGCGGTTGAACTTTGGGCGGGATTCTGTCCGATGGCAGGGAAGAGGAACCCTTCTTCACCCAAGCGGTGCGGTTCATTCTCAGTCTAGAATACGATTTTATACTCGCACAACGCCCTTCCCAGAGCGCAACTGGAGCTTTACCTGGTTGTACGAGGTGTGCGATGTGTTTGGGTGGACGGTGATGGTGGTACGTGCGTACGGGGGAGAACGTGCCCGATTAGGCGATTGCGATCACAGTGATCGGAGACATCGGAGCGATCGCCCGTGTTGCCCGCGGCGTCAACAACTCATTCCACACATCCCGCAGCCATGGCTGTGCACCACAACGTTCTACAATCTCACCCGCTCCAAGTTTCTGTGGATGGGAGGAATGGAGGGCCGCGCGATGGCAGAGCAGCGTGATAAGCGACGTACGTGCGGTAGGATCGTCCATGCTGATGATAGCCCGACGCACTCGCTGTCAGCCAGTCCGGCCGCTCGGGAAGTGGCGGGGCACCGGGGCGATGAACAATAACGTCAGTTTTCCAAGTACGTACCCACGGGGACACTTAGCTTCCCAGTCGTCTCTGCATACGCCCGGGACGAAGCTGCCATACTGGCAGCGAAATCGTGCCGTCAATGATAGCTGTACCACCGCAACACGGCCATGTTCATTCATTCCATGTGGCCCCGCGTACGTACTTTCCACAGAACATCAGCTGTGGCATCACGTTTACCACACGCCATCATGAGACCGAATACAGGGACGTGCGTTCCAGAATCCACGCACACACAGGCGGAGTTGCATCCGGATATTCGAAATCACGCACAAGGTGGCTTCTAGCTCCTGCGCGGACTGGTTCCGTCGTGCGGATGGGCACTGGGAGTAACGACGATACCGCTCCCGCTGACCGCAGGCTACTCGTATTCCGGTGATGCCACTCCTCGCCCTGAGGTGCGTCCGTCGCCGCGAAAGGCTAAATGATGCATCCCCTGATACTCAGACTCTCCCGCCGCCAGAAACACCCGCAAAAGGCCTGCGTTTCGCACCCAGAAACCATATTTATTCTGCCCAACGTCCGACTCTGTCGACTCCGTTCCGCTGCCGGAGCCTGAAGCTGGCGGCCGTCCGGGCGCCGTCGTCTCCTTGGGTTCTATCAACCGCCCCCGCTTCTCCCGACTTCGTCGGCGGAAACATCAGCACTGATAGGTCAGGGTCGCAAGCCCTTTACGGACCACGCGGCGCGGGCGCGGGCGCGCTATCCCCCTCCGCCTGTGCGCCTGCGAGCCCCCTGACCCGCCGCGGGCCCAAGGCGTTCGGGTCGCTAGCGTGCATGCGCCACGCCCTGGTCCGTTGGCGAAATTTGCCTTCCTTTTCCCGCCCGATCATCCGTTAGTGCGGACCGTGCAGCGTGAGACGCTCCGTCACCGCGCGGAGGTTGAGAGTGGCGAAATAAGGTTTGGGCCTGAACTTCACGGAATGTGCCGTTACAATTCAGCAAACATTACCTCCATGGCCGAGTACTAGCGCGTGGACCCCTCCCCGACGCTGGGTGGACAGAAGCGCACCAGTCGAGCGCAAGGCTGCTGCACGGAACGTTCAAACCTGCGAGCTCTGGCGCCCGCTAGTGCTTCTGTGACGCGCCCATATAAACCTTCCATGCGCGTCTGCGCCTAGGCCTCGTTATATGTGGAAGAATCATCGGTCAGAAGCGCGCGATATGAAAGGGCGATGTGCGGGGAATGAATGAAAAACAGAAAACCGTGCAGGCCACGGACCCAGGCTCCAAGGACGTCGTGGTGCGTGGCCCTGAAACCGCCATGAGGTCACTGATGCGGCAGCTTTAGACGTTCGCGCAGAAAATTTTATGTGGGTGACTCAGAGGGGACCCTGCGTGAGGCTGCTGCGAGACGCTCGACCGCGCTTGCAGAAGGACGGAAGGGGAACGAAAAGCACTCGTGTTGCGCACTGGGAACTGCGAAGTGCTGGCGACGGGTGAGCGAGGCTCAGCGAGGTTAAGGCGGATGCCTGACTGACTTCTCTCCGCGCCCACAGTCGGAGGGCAGGACGGCGTCCGGCAAATCAACGACCTCCCGGTGATGCGCGCCGGCGTAGCAGGATTGCGCCAAGCGGTCGTCGAGCGAGGCCGGTCGGTGCTTCCCCGAGCACCAACTAATGCCGTCTGTAATGACCGAGGCTGAATAAACTGGTCCGCCGTGCCTTTCAGGCTTATAGAGCACTCACCTCGCCCGCGTCGTGCTCGCGGCTCACCGACCTCGCATGTCCCCTTCTACCATCTCGGAGAGACCGCAGCGCGCTGATTCGTCGCTCGAGGCGGAGACGGTTGCAGAAGGACCTGATGCATCATCCGCCCCACCTGCGACGAGCCGTACGACGCATGGCGCAGCCTCCAGGTACCGACCGCCTATGCCAACGCGTCCGTGGTCAACGTAGCTCTCGCGCTCATCACAACGTGCACCCGCTCACCAGTTCGTCCCCATCGCCATGACATCAAAGCGTAGCAAGAGGGTGCCCGACACTGGCGGCGTTGATACAAGGACCGTGGTCGTCGGACTCGCCATGCCGTGGTAGCCCGCAGCGTGGAGCCATAGCGTAGACGGTGAGTCGGTGGTGACTGGACGACCTGCGCTCTCAGGAACGTAGGATGAAGTTTCTGCGCGGCGGCCTCGGGTCCGAGCTGGCGCTGGTGGCGTCCCGAAGATGCATGCGGGAGGGTATAACGTGTGGGCGATTGGGTGGATGGGTGGATGGGTAGATTTATTTGCCAGGTGCGTGAGGAGCGTATCGAGCTGCTATGTGTGCGGCCAATATACTGACGAGCGGGTGTAAGATTAGGGGAGGAATAGAGAAATATTGTGTCCGATGCTCACCTAGTCCAAAGTACCCGGAAAGCTCTCGTGTGGTTCGTGGGGGTGGTGAGTACATGAGTACGGCATTGTGCCTATATCCGAGTTGTCGACGTAGAGACGTGTGCCCAAGACGGTCCTGGGAGGTGGGAGGTAATGGGGGACAGTGACTAGATGGGTACGTGGCCCTTCCTCCGGAGCAGTCTCCGACAAGACGTGTCTCACCAGACACTGCAGGGTCTCCTCCAGACCACTTCCTCTATCTGCGCGTACGTACGCACACTGCGACCATCTCACGGCAGACGCCACACCCAGCCAAAAACCCACCTCCTGCGCCGACGGCAGCCGCCACAACGCCCGCGGCCGCTTCCAAACTCTACACAGAAAATCAATCATCTTACGACCTGCCGCCCTGGCTCCCTCACAATGAACGGCCCCTCTGGTGCTCGCCGCCGCGGACGTCCATCCCGAGCAGCGAAGAAGTTGGGGGCGCCTCGCGGTGGACCGTGGACGGGAGAAGCAGAAGGGGGTCGTGACAGGTTGGCAGGACTGAGCGCCCACCCGCTAGCCGACGTCGAGTTAGCCCTGCGGCCGGCCCCACCCCTTTGTGGGACGTTGTGGGCGACTCGCGTCCCCCTTCGACCTTCTCAGCGCTCCGCCGACGCACCACCCCATGACCGGGTGACCCCCGTACACCTGCCGCATGTTTTCCCGCCGCGTATCCGCATGTGCACTGTTCTCCCGCTTCGGGGACCCTTAGAGTCCGGCACGCGGTGCGCGAGCAGTCTGCCATCGCCACGGCACGCCCTGCGAGTCTCGTAATTCTCCTGATGGCGCGCCCTGGAAATTCCAGCATGTGGTGCGAGGCCCCACGGTGCCTCAGTCCCCTCCTCGAAACGGCCGCACGGCACTCCCATGAAAATCCACAATTAATGGGGCATGCGATCGCCCCGCGGGCCGACCGTTCTCCCGGTGCACGACCCGCAAGACGCAGGCGGCGTTTCACCGTGACAATCTGTGAGAGCGCGTCCGAAGAGCCGCTATCGCAGGAAGCCTCGGGGGCGAGCGCAGGCGTCCGCGTCGCCCTCTGCATTCCAGAAGAGGCTCTGGGCTAGCCACAGCCTGGAATATTAATGGCGTGCCGCATGGGGTGGCGAGACGGCAAGGGTCCACCGGGAATTGCTCCTTGGGTTTGTCAGGCCGCAGCCAGCGTGATGAGCTCGACCCGAAACGCACCTCTTTTGGGGCGAGAGAAGGAGGGGGAGTGAATTGGTAGAACACCGAACGGGGCCCGGCGCACGCTGGGACGAGCCTGCGCGCGGGGCGAGAACCGTCGGCACGTCCACAGAGTTCAGGTTGTGAGCTAACGGAATCCGGCCGTTAGGGGCGTCTGGGACAGGCTCCGCGTCTGGTTTTTCGAGCATCGAGCGGAAGTGTCCACGAGTCTCTCGCACCAGAAAATAAAATTGAACCGTAGCATAAACCAAGAATGAGCACAAAATAAGGCCTGGCATGATGAGGCTGCAGAGCCGCCGAGGCTCGCGCGGTAGTTCCCGCACGAGCCCAGCCGACCTGAGGGCCAAACGCACCTCGCCTGCGAATCACGCGCGACGGCGCTGCCGTGAGCACCCCACCGGCGGCGTGGGCCGCACCACCCGCTGCGCCGTCCACACAAGAGCCCATGACGCGGAGGAATCCACGACGGGGCGCATCGGTTCGTCTTCGAGTCATCCACATCCACAGAGATGCGATGGAGATGCGATGGAACGCGCGAAGATCTGTTCATCTGGTCGACGCGCCTCGCGCGTTCCCAAACATTGTCAGTGTGAGGGGCGCACCGCTGATATTTGCCACATATACTGCCCAATCGAGCTCGCGGGCGCGTCGGCGCGTCCCGACGCGGACGTCGTCGATAGCGACACCGGCGAAGCCGTGCTCGGCGGCTGATACCGATGTCCCCATCGCGCCGTCGTGACAATGAGCAGATGCAGAAGCACCACAGCCCGTTCCGCCCCCCATCGCAAGCTACACAATAACGGCCTGCTCCCAATTTACCTCCAGTAGCTTCTGAATCTTCGCCGGTCGGAGTACTGCACGTCGGCGAGTGACGCCGTCGGACCACAGAAGGCCAGCATGACGGCCCGCGGACGTGCAGCGACTTGGAGTCGGCGGGCGGCATGCGGTGGCGCACCGTCAGCTTCGTGGCGCACTCGCCAAGCAATTTCGCCCATATACGATCGCATTTGACGCGGACACGGCCGGCTCCCGGGCCTCCGCCTCCTCGCCCGAGCAGTGGCATACACGTACGCGTGCCCCGTGGCTGGAGGAGTCACCGTACGTGCCGCCGACCGAAGCAGCGCGACGACGTACGGGTGGAGGCGCGTGGGACGCACGGCTGATTGCATCCTTCCATCATCGCCCTGCCTGCGGGGGCATCAGCGCGAACCTGGGCTGCAGCAGCAGACCGTGACGGGGGCGGCTGCGTGTGCCATAATGCGTACTGTTCGTATCAGCCAGCGGAGAAGGAGAAGCGGGCGTGCATTGAAACCTGGGGCTCCGGTCGGGGAGGGGCCATTAGGGCGGCATCAGATCCGTCCGACCGACACAGAGGGGGGTTGCTATCTGTAGAGGCAGAGAGCATGGCAATGGAAAAGGTGCAGTGCGTACGCTCTAACCTGTGTCCACAAGATCGTTCTTGCCCGCTCTGGCGCCGCATCGACGGCGACAGCGTCGACCAACAATCCCCATCCACACCGCCCGGCGTCCGCCCTGTTCGATGGGCCAATGTTCGCAGGACCGTGTTCCCATCGCCCTCAGCTGCTCCCGCGACGGTCCGTGGAGGGACGGCGTCGACCAACAATCCCCATCCACACCGCCCGGCGTCCGTCCCAGGCTGTTCGACAGCCCAACGTAAGTGCGCAGGTCCGTGTTCGTGTCCGAGTTCCCATCCATCGCCCCCCCTGCCCGCCGCTCCCGCGACGCTCCGTCGAGGGTGTTCCCAGACAGCAGTGCCCAGGCATCTGTTCGCGCCTGCTGTTCGCAGACGGGGGCGGCGCTTCGCTGATAGGATGCGCGATGGCGCGCAGTTTAGCTCGGGCCCCACATTGTCTGTGCAAGCGGGAGGCGCGCGCGCGAGGACGCCACCGTCGACGGTCGCGCTCCCATCTGCTCCCCGAACAAACCCAAGCCCCCGTCGCACCCGAGGACGATGCGCCCGCGCCGCATCGCGCGACGAACAGTCGCACGAAGCCGTCGTGAGCTTCTGCCACGCATAAGGCAATGTCCTGGCGATACAGAAGAGCCAGAGGCAAAGATGGCTGGTCGCTGGTCGGGGCATCCATCCATGGATCATGGATCTGGGCGTGCACCGACATCGACCGTCGACCATCCGAACAACCTCGCAACGAGCAGCAAAGAAGCAACGTTTTCGGTTTTCCCAACGCAGATACACACACGCACACCCGCCCTGCCCGAGACCGAAATGGCGCGACGACCCTACGGCGGGGGTCATTCTAGAGGCCGCTGGGGGCGACGGCAACACATGATGCACGGCGAGTGTGCGAGCGCGCTGGTTGGGCAGCGCCCGGGCAGCCATCTTCTACAGATGACAGGCGAAAATGAAAGGAGCCATCAGGCTCAAATTCGATGTCCCGCCGTTTTGCACGCTTCTTGCCCGCCCGCCGTCTGGCTGAACGTTCGCTCCGCCCCGCGCGAGTTAATTAAAACGCACATCGTCGTAGGAACGCAGCACGGTCGGCAGCGAGCGAGGGTGGAGCGAGGGGCAGCGCCCGGGCATGTGCGGGTCTTCCACCTGCTATCCACCGCCGTCCCGACGGTGAAACAGGCCTCCTTTTCTGGGACGTGCCTGTATGGAAAGTCGCTTCCCGTACGAGCCGCGGGTGTGCGCCCGTCAGCGAACGGCTGGGCGGGCGATGCGTCCATCACGCGCGAAGCGGTCTGGCCACCACGAACAGCACAAGAAGCCGATGGAAGACACGGGCGGACGCTCACCTGGCGTACGGGTGGATTCCGGTAGCCATAGGGGAGCACCGCGCTCAGGCTCCGCTGGGGAGATCTGGCGTCGACGGCGCGCCCGCGAACCTTGTCCCGCAGGCTGCAAGCGGTGCAGGGCTCCGCGCGTGGCTCCCAGTTCCATAATCCATCGACGTCCACGGTCCACCGTGGGCACGGGCGCCTGGCTCCGAGTTCTTGTGCTGGATGTGGTTAGGGCGTGATGGGGATGTGGCGCATGGGGAGAATAGGGAGATGTGCGAATGGGGGAGGCGGCTGGGAGCGGGGGCGCGCGATCGATGGAATCAGACACGAAACGTGCACTGGGAGACCGAGGAATTCGAGCACGCTGATTGGGATCAGGCGTGTCGCCCAGTGCTGTACCGGGCTCGCACCGCACAGACATTAGAGTTCGATCGCGGCCAGTGGCAGCTGCCCGCTGGGAACGCCGGAGGCGGCGTGCGTCGATGATGCGTCCAATTGTCGTCTCCGCGGGAGAGCGCCGGCTGCTGTGCCCAGCCGTGCGGGACGCGTCCGCCGCGCGGGGAGACGCGGCTGAGGCCTGTATTTTTACTGCACGGACCGGGGGAGGGGGACGGAGGATGCGAAACGGGATGACGGAGGGCTGAGGCTGCGGAGGTGATTGAGTTCTGGATCAGACACAGCGGCGAAGGGCAGCAGGGCGTCATGTCAGCGGCCGGAGGGAAGACGCCTGCTGGGACGGGCGGGACGATGCGCAGCGCGGGAGACGAACAAGAACATTGACAAGGACGGGAAGGGCCCATCTGAGATCGGAGGGCGACAGGTAGCCTCGGACGGAATCTTGCCATCAGCTGGGAGCGGGAATATCAGGTACGATAACTCATTACTCCCGGTCACAGCTTATCACTGCGACCCTGACCGGCCTTACCAGATGGGCGTCTCCCCTGCGAACGATCATTGCCGAAGGGCTGATGTGATGGGCGCGGCCGAGTGGGTGCCGCCGAGCTGCAGGAGTCTCTTTGGCTGGGGTCAAAGGCAAATAGAGCGGGTTGCAAGGGGGCTCGGAGTAGATACACCAAGCGGTTTGAGCAGGACGGCGGGATGCCTCGGCGGGACCCAGTCGGGCGGGGACCGGAGGATCGGCAGAACGCGCGGAGCTACGAGTTCACGCGGCGCCCGAATAGCGGGGCAGGTGATGGCGTGATGGGGCGCCGGATTTGGGAGGAGCAGGATTTGACGGCGAGAAATTGTTTTGCGGTTGTGCGCGACTGATGGGATGCGAGTGCTGGTGTCGAGAAACGGTGAGCGCCGTCGTTCCGAGCCTCTCTTTCCTCTTTCCCATTTCCCACTTGGCTGCTTTCCCGGCCCTCGTCTGTCTTCTCGTCCTTCCTGATCTCTCAGTTCTCATCACTTCCCATCGTCTTCCCGCACAGCTCCCCCAGGCCCCGGACAGCCTTCCACGTCCAGCGCGCCCGCCATGGACAGGCCGTGCGTGTCTCCTCGTATATATACCGCTACAATCACCCCTCAACATCATCATATCAACAGCCACTCGCCCCTCCCCGACACCGCGTCCCGCGACCTCCTTCCGCCCAGATCCCCATCTCCGGCCCCGCAGCAGCACCACTACCAGCATACCCACCTCCCGCCCGCACACGCCTTCCCCCAGCACTCGTACCACCCCCAGCACGCGTACCAGGACTACCCACGCCCTGACAGTCGCCTCTCCGACTCGCGTCTCCTCCCCCCGCCGTCCGCGATTCCGGCCAGACACTCCGCGCCGTCCGCGAACGCCGAGGAAGCCACTCCCCCCGCGTCCCCGCCACACAAGCGGTTCAAACCCGAGAACGCGACCGCGAACGCGAGTTCGCTCCCGCCACCGTACCCGTGTCACGTCGATCAACGCTGGGTCAGTGTTCGTCATTGCTGATTGCATTCTGCTGCTAACGGCCCATCACCGATCACCTGTTCTGGCCCTGTCCGTCCGTTTGCGTTGCTTTCAACCGGTCTGCAGCATTACTCCCACGCACCCTATCCCCAATCCTTCTATCCATATCCGTATCATCATCAAAACATGCCCCATCGCGTCGAGGACATGGGTGTCGACCGGTCAATAAGGTTCGCATCGCCCCCATTCTCGTATAAGAACGCCCGTCAACTATAACACTCCCACAGCCATCGCTCTGACGGCCACACCCAGTATCAGTTCATGCCCTCCCACCCTACCCCGCCCCCCATCGCCACCCTCCATCACTCGCCCGCTTTGTCCGCCTCGTCCCTCGAGAGCCACTCCATCTCGCCCTCCCCTCCGGTACGCCCCAGCCGCCCGCGTCTGATCCCTTTCCCACCCATTGACGCCTGCATATCTTTATAGATCACGCAGCCCTCCACCCCCTACTACGCCCACCCCGCCCAGGCACACGCCATGAACCAGGCCCCGCCCTACCCGTACCAGCCCAACGGCGGCATGCCCCGCTACGCGGACGACCCCAACGCTGCTGCGTACGGCGCCCAGGGCCACGCCGTCCCGCTCTCGACGCGCAACATCCGCCCGACGATCGTCGCGTCGCAGCCGTACCCCGGCCAGGCCAACTACATCATCCACACGGACGACGCCAACACCAAGCTGAGCGACCGCGTCCGCCGAAAATGTTACAACTGCCGCACGACCGACACCTCGACCTGGCGGCGCTCAAGTCTCACCCCGGGCAAAGTGGTGCGCACCCTCCCGCTATGTTCTGTGTGCTCCCTTTTAGACCGCTAATTTTTCCGCTACTCGTAGCTTTGCAACAAGTGCGGCTTGTTCGAGCGTACACACTCCAGGCCGCGCCCGGAGCAGTTCCCCCCTAAGCGGGGCCCCGTCGTGCCCGTCAACCAGTTCAAGCAGCACCGTAACCCTACCCCGCCGTCGCACCAGCAACAGCAGCAACAGCGGCTGCCGTCGATGACGCATCAGATGCTCCCCCCGCATGGCGGCTACTCCCACCCGTCGCTCTCACCGCTCATGGCCGCGCGCTCTGCCGACCCCCAGTACCGCGGGAGCGGGGTGACCGAGATTGGTGCGCTGCTTAACGGCCCTGGGGAGAGCCAGGCGAACGGCAGTGCCGGTCCGTCGTCGGGTGCTCCGTCTGCTGGAGGCTCGCCGTCGCTGGCGCATCAACAGCCGCCTCAACAACAGGGGCAGCAGCAGCAACAGCAGGGGAATAGCTTGAAACGGTCGGCGTCCCCGCTCGAGAGGCAGCACCAGCCTCCGCCGCCTCCGCAGATGCAGCCGGAAACCATCCAGCAGCATCAGCTTCAACAACAACAGCAGCAACAACAGCAGCAGCAGCAATCGGCGCACTCGTCACCACAGATTCCTTCCGCGGGTATCGGTGCAAACGGGAGCCCGAAGAGCAGCCCACGTACGAACGTCGAGCGGCGAGATGCCCCGGCGTACCGTGCAAGCAACTAGGGTGGTGGACAGAATCCGAGGACCTTGGGGATCGTCGGCGACGTCGAGCGCCGCGGCCGTTCTGCTGTATTTATCGTGTATTTTTTGTTCTCGCGCCTGCACTGCGCTGCACCTTAGATTCGACACGTCTCGTCCCCCTGCCGTGTATCGCTTACCGCCGCTCGTCGTCCCCCGTCCACGCCCCCGCCCCTTCCTCGTTGTTCCCCTTGCCCGTCGGTGGCCGTCTGCCATTCCCTGTGGTTGAACGGCTACGGGGCGCACAGCGCCGTGGGTACGTGCAGGGGGATATAGCGCGGCGCCGTGCCGCGCGCTGCTCGTATTCCCCTCCGCACGTCGCCGTCGTCTCCGCCGCTGGGAACGACCCGGAGCTCGCCCGCTGGGTGCCCGCTCCGGAGCGGGACTCGCCCTGGCCCGTGTAGGGAACGAACGCTGCTGCTGTTGTTTCCCCTCCCCTCTCCCGTCTCGTCCCGCCCGTCCACACCTACCGCCCCGCTGCCCGTCCACTGCAGACTGTATTGCTCCACATCTTGCTTTCTTGGTTCACCTGCTGCTTTTCCGCCCCGCCCCCTCCCCGTATATCTCCCCCATTTCTTCTCCCAGTCAGTCTGCCGTCCCTAGTCTATAATGTCTATGCGTGTCTCCCTACCTATCGCGTACCGTCCCCCCGCCATATTGCCCCCGGCTCCTAAGCTATCTCTCTAGTACCCTACGCTACCGGTCTCCTCTCGCCAGCACGAAATTGAACTGCATTTGGACTCTCTCTCTCCCATTCTCAGAATATGCAGACTGCTGTGCTAGTACACTCAGCACTGAAACGCGCGGGCGCGGAGGCGACCGTTCGTGGCCGTCGCGCTCGCGCACGAGCGGCGCCAAGTTGCAGCGGCTGTGCACACGCACGCACGCACCCACTCAGTGATTCCGAGTCCGGGCGCGCGCCCTGTCTGTCATGGTGCTGCGCTGCATCGTGCCCGAGTCATCCTTGCCCTGGCAAGCCGTCCTGCTGGTCCCGCTGGTTCTCGACGCTCCCGCTCTCGAACCCCCTGGCTGCGCGCCCCTTGCTTCATTTTCCGTCACTTATGGACGGCGCTGTCGAATTGGCCACTTCATATGCGCCCGGGACACGATCAATCCTCGTCGTACTGGTGCCTGCCAGCGCCGGCGCCCGTGCACCTCGAAGACGCGTTGGAAGGGTTAGGGGACGCGCCCGCGGGATACTTCGTGAAGTTCTGCGACGTGTGCCTCGGGATGCGCCCGCCCGCCGGTGCGCCGCATCAGCTCGCGCCGGACGGGCGGCGGACGCGGACGGCGAGGGCTCGCATTTCTCGGACGTCCGAAGCTGAGAAGCACGCCCGCCATGGCCAGGCCGCGGCGTTCGCACGAGGCGACGTCCCGTACGCCGTCCGTTCCTGGCCTCCTCCCGTCGCTCCGGGGAAGTTCCAGCCGTCTCGTCTCGCCTCCTCGCACTTCGAAATTCAAAGACACGCGCCCGACGCTACCATTATCAATTCCAGGCGGTGGGCGGGAGCCAGCAGGGCGACGGTGATTGGACGGACCCGCGCCGACTCGGAGACGTCTCTGCGTGCGACTCTGCGTGCGAGACGGCGCCCGTGCGGTGGGCGGCGGGTGGACGCTTCCATTCGAACGCGGCGAAGCGTCCTCGCCTGCCGCTGCTGATGCGCACATGTAATTTTTTTCTGCGTGCCAGGCCAGCCGGCGAATCGGGCTGCTCTGATGGCCATGGGTGCGATCGTACCGCGGCGAGAGGCTCGTCGCGACGCACTGCTGACAGTCAGTGGTTGGCGCTACGCGGACGCCACAACGGCGCCGGGAAACAAGGGCGGGCGCACACGGCTCAGGTCGGCGGTGCAGTTGATGCACTGGGGCGGTGCGTCGCAGAGTCGAGAAAAAGAACATGGGCCGTACGGTCTCTCGCAGCAGATAATAGGTGCTGCAAATTTCGGCGGGGGTGCTAGGCTGGCAGCTGTCCTCCACCCGCAGGACGTCAGTGGGCGCATTAATTGTGCTGCGGGTGTTCCGGCATTTTGATCCTTTTTCTCTCCTCTGCGTCTCCCAGCTCCGCGTCCTCCACATGACGTTGCCCAACCGCTATCTTTTTCCAACAGGCTCAGGGTCTGTACTGGTTTCGGCACGGCCAGTGACTCCCTTACGAGCCCGGAAAGGGCACCTCCTCATTTTTTGCGCAGCGGGGACGGACGTGCCTGCGCCCAAGGACGCATTATGGGCGCCGGCGCGCAACGGCGGCACTTGCTTCTTCTTGGTCCGGCCGGTAGTCTTTTCGTTGATCGCCGCTAGGCTCGCGCCAATATTTCCCGTGCGGCGGCGGATGGCGCGGCCTGCACGTCCACGGCTGCTTTTTCTGACCTCCCCCACATCCCGTCTAGGCACCCGCCGTCACCCTGAGGCCACGACGAAAGTTCAAACGAGGGCATGTCGAAGAAGGTGCGTGCCCACTGGCCTCACGTTGCGTCAGCGGCTTCTAGAGGCGTCAGCGATTAGGAGCCAGTACGGTCGCCTTCGCGGCCGCGCTACGGTGGCAGGACTAGGGTGGCACGCCGTCACGGTACTCAATTGTACGTACGTCTTCCTTCGCCCCGCCCAAATACGCTACCGCAGATCGCCCCGAGCGGGCAAGAGCACGGCCAACAGATCCCGCGCCTGCGCCTCCCCGTCGGCCCAGCCCAGCGCGTCCATTGGCCCAGTTATTCGCGGCGACAGCTGGTGACGCCTGCCGTACGCACCGTCCGCGCAGATTCGTCGAATCTCAGGCTGTGAGTCCATTCCTGCCGCCCCAGGGTCATCAGCGTGCTCATGCCTATCATTCTGCGTTGGCTGGGCTGCGAAGGCCTTCCCTGAGGCGTCGACGTCGGCGGCGCGAGCGTCCGCAGGGGCTTCTAGTGGACGTCAGCCTGCGGCGGCCCTCCTAGCGCGTGTCGGCGCCGTCAAGCCTGCCATTGAAGATCCGTGCTCGGTGCCGTTCCTCCGTAGCGGCGCTCTCGAGTGGATGCGCCTAGCCTCATGCCATGTCTCGAGGCCCGTGTCATAGGTCTGCCGCCCTACGTGCCGCCGCGTCAAGATTGATGTGGTACGAGATTGCAGGACACAGCGAAGACGCTAGGAATTGGACAGCCCGCCGTTCGCGAGGTGCGCAGATGCCAATGCTCAATTTACACCTTGACTGCCCGAGTTACCCCGCTTCGCGTCTTGTTTTATGAAATGTCGGCATCTGCAGCACGGCTTGTCGTAATTGGCGTAGGTTAGACTACAGCGCGTGCCGTACATGGCGCAGTCTCCGCCGTCGCTCCTTTCCAATTTGGGTGTGATCCTCTGCTTCCCGCTGAGCACCGCCGGCAGCAGGCTATTCTGGAGCAGCTCGCCTTATTGTTCCCCTCCGCAATTACCAACGGCGGTTTGGTTCAAATCCGGGTTCTTACTGGCATCCACACACTCGCCACCAGGTAGGCGCGACCATCAAACCGAACGGGCTTCTGCTGACTACGACCAGCGGATGCAGTCCTACTTAGCAGACACCAGCGCGCCCGAATGCGCTGCAAGTCGCCAACCTCTCCGTTCCACATCCCGGCCTCGGCGAATGGGCGGCGGAGAATTCCACTAGGGCTTCATGTATTCGCACCCAGGATCGCGGCAAAACATTCTCGCCCCCAGGCTCAGGGTCCCCGAGCAGGCCTCTGTCCCATGCGACGTCGTCCTTGGGCGCGGGCGCCCTCCCCCCCGCCCAAAGCGGGCAAAAAGCCCCGGGCAGCGTGCGAGGAGCCATCAGCGAAGCCGCAGAAGCCCAGTGCGCACTCAGGGTCGATGGCCCGCGTTTGGTCAGATGCCGCGCCGCGCTGCATCACCTGGCTGGCCCTGCGTCCCGCTCGGGCACTGTATTGCCCGCGAGCGTGCGCGTATCAGTGGGCGGGAGGGGCTGGGCGCCGCGCGCCGCGAGCTTCGCCGCATCGATGCGTTCTTTCATTAAGCAGGCTGCTCCACGGAGGTCCGACAGGCTCTGGGCGGGCGCAAAGGGGGAAGTGCAGTTGCTCGCGCCGGAAATGACCGTGGCGACGTTCCTAGCGGGACGTAATCAGACAACGCATGTTGGGGACATGTGCTCGTGTCCGAGTCGTGTCGACGCGGCCCAGCGGTAGGTGCAGAGCCCTAGAGCGCAGCGCCGGGGGCCACATTCACATCGATCAGTGTGCGCGCACATACAGTACAACGGCGGCCATGCATGGAAGATGGAAGAGCAGCATGTCTTCCGAGCTCGTCTTCCGTTGATGTCGATGCACCTCTCCATGCAGCCCACGCTCATCCTCTACGCCGGCACACACCCACGCCGCCGAGACGGCGAACCCCGAGCCTGGCCTTCGCCCTTCCCGCCAGACGTTCATTCTCGCGCAAGCAATTGGCCACTCGAACGACGCTGATTCCGAGCTTGTCCCGCTGGGCCTTAGCGCGATCAGTGCATCACTCCGCGGTGGGACACACACCTCCCCAAAGAGGCATGTCTAAATGAACACCGATCGCCCCGCCGCGGTGGCGCGGCCGCTGCGGAGGAGGCGTGATCGCGCCGCCCGACCCTTGCAATTTGAGCCCGCGGCGCAGCGCCCGCTCACAAATGACGGACGAGGACTGGACCATCGCGCCAACGTGCGCGCGGCAAGTGCACGCCGCCGCGCGAGGGCGGGTAGGTTTGAACTCTGCCGCGAACACGACATTAGTGAGAACGCGGCCGGGTCGTCGTGGCGACACACGGAGGGGGTTCTGCACTGATCGCAGGCCCAACGCAAAATGGGCGAAGAACGCGGCCGTGGGCTCCCCCTGGCCATGGCGCGCGCGAGCGAATGGGAGCATTCGAGGGCGCATTGATGCGTGCCCACGCTGTTGCGAACGTGAAAAAACGGTCGGACGTGCGAGGGCAAACATAACCGGGCTGAATGCCAGCTTCGCCCGTCGCCGACCGGGATCGCGCGCGGACGGCTCGTTTCGCGCGTTTTCGCACGCGGCGAATGAATGGAGCAAGAGCGGGCGACGGAACCTTACCGCGGCCTGCTCCCAGAGACGTCGCCGGCCGCTATGATTGACTTCAGGAGCCCAGGCGTCGCGAGTGATGGAGGCGCGTTCGCAGCTGATATCCGTTAAGCATGGAGGAGCCCGTCCCTCCCGCCGCCTAGATATACATAGGAAGACATGTCCGGCCGCATCAGCGCGCCCCGCGGACCTGCTGCAAGTCGGTCGCTCATCGCGCCCGCCACCGGACTGGCAGCACTTTGGGCGACAGCGGCGCGCAGGGTCGCGCTAGCGGTGCCAATGCGCGCCCGCGGCCGAGGGCGCGATCGCGCGTCGCCCCCATGGTCCGACTCCGAGATCTGATGGAGCGCGGGGCAGCCATCAGAGCCATCAGAGCCGTGCGAAGTGATCTGCAGACCGGGGGCGTGGGAGCAGGCGCCCGCGTGCACCGTGCTCCACCCGACGACGCTCCGCCTGCAAGGTCGCGCGTGGGGGCGCGAGGAAAATCGGCAGGAGGCACGGTCGCGAGGGGCGGGCGATAGCGTTACGTACCGCACGTCAAGGTGCGGTTGACAGCTGGAACAGGGGGGTTGTCTGCGATAGGCAGCGCATCAGAAGAAGGGGCGCAGACGGATGGGGAATGCAAAATGACAAACCGCGCGTTCGAAATCATACCGATGGGTTCTTCGGGCACGGACAATATTATCTGTTCGGAAAGTGCCAGACGTACGTACACTTCAGGTCCGTCCCGGAGCACGACCGTCTCGCTGTTTTCTACGGGCATATCCCACGAGTTGTTATCGAGGCAAGGGTTACGCGCGCGCTACATGATAAAATCACATTAGCGGATGGCGAACAAGCCGGCGCAGGCCGCGACAATATCTGTGGTCGTATACATCGTCAGATATCGAGTGCACACTACGTGAATTTGTGTAGTTAGAACGAACCTGCAGGTACGATTTTCCCATGCCACTCACCGTCAACCGATCAGCTAGTCGGATCCACGGGTGCCTCGGTCTGGAAGGAAAAACCAAAGCGGCGAGAGCGGGCATCAGAACTATTCAATAGCTCGCATGTGCTGACCGGGACCATTTGGGCTGCCCATCCGCGTTTACTGCACCCAGTGTTCAGCGACCGTATGGTAAGACCCTGACCGAGGGAACGATGTTCGGATTTATGTTTTGATCGAGCAGCGACCGCGTTGTGCACGGCGGTGAGTCGACGACCTAGAAGGACAACGAAGGCGTCGCTGATGGAAGTAATAAGCACTTAGCAAGCTGTGAGGACACGGAACATATTTTTGCGCCTGCTGCCGTACGCCCGCGCCCGACTCCACGCAGCGCAGTCTTGGGCGAAAAAGCCTCGTCGTCGTCGCGGCATCGAGGCACCTTCGAAATCAAAACTGAATATTAATGCGCATCCCACCCGCCAACTCCCGCGTTTCACCGCGTTTCGCAGGAGTGCCGGTCCCACACCGGCGCAGGCCCTTGGCTCCGGGACGTGCCATCAGGGGCACGTACCGCATCCTGCGCCATCACCCGTACCGCCCGATGCGGCCGGCCGGGAGTGCCCAGGAAGAGCGAAGACTGAAAAGCACGACCGCGATCAGAGAAGCTGGAGCGGGCGTGAGGGTCGCGGCGCCTTACGGAGCAAGAGCGCACTGGGCTCACCGCGGAGGTGCAGATATCGCTGCGCGTCGCGTAAGCGCGGGCCACATGCCTGACGGATGCAATAACCCCTTTGGACTCGCCTGTGCCGGGGGGCGTGGCTCGTGCAGGCAAGAGAACGTGGAGGACTGATCCGCCGGCTGATGGGCCAAAAGGACGAGAGGCACGTTGGGCACTGGCCGGTGGCGGCGGGGGTGATGCCGCGGGATGATGGCTGCGTGTCCGTCATTCTGTCATTCTGGATGATGGGCTGCCGGGTCGCGTGGATGGGCAGAACGTGCGGGGGCGATTGCGAGGTTGCGAAGAAGAGGAGGTGGGTGCGTTCCGAGGCCGATGGAGGGACCGGAGATTACGAGACTGGAGAGGTTATTCGGACCGACGTCGCAAGGAAAGTCCAGTATGATAGATGCGAGGGTGGCTCGATTGGTCGAAGGCCGGAGAGCTGCTGTTCTTCCGAGAGGAACCTTAAGCCTCAACTTTCTGTTCAGGCGATCAGACTCGCCTTGAGAGGCCGCGCGCGGTCTTTGAGGGGCGCGCTGGTCTTGCTGGAACAGGCACAGAGAGATGGTTGCGCGCGAACGTCATCATCCGCCGAGTGATTCTCTTCGAAGTCTTGGTTGAGTTAAATTCGGTGCTCTGTACATGCGACTCCTTCATGAAGCACGTACCATCATGTGTCCAAGACGTGCAATGGCAGGTTACATCGATCAAAGAGCCTCGGAAACGTGATGCATAGACGTCCGTGCAGAGCGTTGGAAGTACGTCCTTTTTGCTTTCGCATGATGCCGGTCATGTATCTGATCTCCAATGCTCAGGACGGGGTCAAGTCGCAGTGAACGTTCTCCATTGCTAGGACCATACAAGCTAGTGAACACGTACTAAACTACAGGAATGTGCCCAAGACTGATTAACCACGCGACCAGTAAAAACGAACAGTCGACGGTATGCCCAGTCCGGGGCTCGCGAGATTGCTATACTCGGCCTTTGAACCGCGCCCTGAGACGAAGCCCAAGGTAAAACGTCCCATCGAGTGTCGAAACGCCAGCTTCAGAGACCGAGATGACTGTAAAGAACACGCTCTGCGCGCCACTGCAGATTATATACCGAAATGCTAAGCGCCTGTGGTCCGTGCGCGGGAAGGGCGCCGGACGCCGAGTATATAAGGGCGCGGCGGACATCACGAGCAACTTGAAAGTTGCACCTCGCACATATTTGGGACTCTCTCTCATAGCCGGCGGTGACGTCGTGCGCACGGGAGGGTCTTGAACGTTTGTGAGGGAGAACGACTCTCCATCTCAAGATCGTGCCGAGTTTATCATGTCGGATGGCGACCCGTGTTGGAGATACAATCTTCGTATGTACTTCGTGTCTACTCGAACAATACACTGGTTTCCTGCATTTTTTCCTGCGTGTTTTGGACTCTCCCAAGAGCGAAGAACGACTATTACCGTCGAAGCAAAGACTTTTGCAAGAAAAATGTTGGTATGTGTTACACTTGCTATAGTACTAAGTACACGACGCAGACTGACGTCTGCTTTTGTCTCAGCAACGCCCACGTCGAGATACTCAAGAAAGCCAAGTAATCCACTCCTCAGACTTCCTCTGGATGGTAGCAGTCATAATCTCCGCGAGCTTGCGGTCAGCTTGCTCGGAAGGATGCAACTCGTCGAACCTGTCGCTCCGTCGTCAGTCCGGCACTCACTCTACTACTACGCCACGCATACACGCACCAAAGGAAACTGTCAGCGTCCGTCCCAGTAGCATCGGTGCACACGCCCGGGTCGCCCGTCGACTCGCCCTCCTTGAAGACGCACGCGTGCACGGCCCCAGTGACGTTCAGCGGCGCGGTGCCGTTCAAGTACAGCTGCGGCCGGGTCAGCATGTCCGTGAAGAGCGCGTGCGAGTCGAAAAGACCTGAATAGCGACGCGCCGCAGATGTGAGTTCGCGTTACCATCGGAAATGAGATAGATCGACTTACCGAGATGCGCGCCATGCAGCTTAGGCGTAAGGGCCCTCAGCAGCCCGTCGGCGATTGCGTTGCCCGACTTTGTCAGTTCAGCCATGAAGACGCTCCACTCGGTCGTGTTGCGCGGGCCCGTCCAGTAGCGGTTGGGGTACGAGTTCGCCGAGTAGAGTATGGAGTGCTCCAAGGGGATCATCTACGCGGGAAGCTCAGCCTCCAGCATCACGGGGGGAAACACGTCCAGTCTTGACTCACGTTCTGGAAGATGAAGTTCCGCGCGCCGGCCGCGTACATCACCTTCACCCAGTTCACCGCGCAGGTCACCGTATCGACGATGCTGACACCAGGCGTCTGCGAGCCCGTCAGGAGCGCGCCCGCGCCGACGTCGTTCGTGCCGATCCACAGCGTGTAGATCGTGTCCTCGGGGTCGAGCTTCAAAGACCCATTCGCCTTTTCCGCGAAGAAGAGCGGGAGCTGGCTCTCGAACACGGAGGGGAATGGGCGGTTCGTGAGGTTGTTTGAGCACGTCGCGCCGGACTTCGCGAACGGGAAGAGCTTGAAGTGCCCGTCTTGCGCAGCGTATACGGGCCACACGATCCCGCCGTCTGCATGCCCGTTCTATTGCCACAAGTGAGTAAAACATCTCTCTGACGCGACACTTTCCGAATACTCACAACGTCTGTGTAGGAGTCGCCGAACGTGACGAGGTTCTTGATCTGGCCTGGGAAGGGACCCGCCGCAAGCGCGGAAAACGCAAGGCTTCCGGAAAGCAGCACGGAGGTGAGCAAGCCTTTGACCATCGTCGATATCGTGCTACTGGTAGGATACGGAGGGCAGGGGTCTCCTGGAGATGGCGACGACAACGCACCGCCCCCCTCGCGCCCCTCCTATATACCTCTGAGCGGTCTATTTTTCCCCGGCGATGCCCGCGGAGTGCAAAGGGGGGCATCATCTGACCGCGTTCGCTGGCGTTGCGGCAGCCCGTGGAACAGCTGGAAAATGCGGGAAGACAAGCCCCTCGCGGACGTAGCGGAGCGTGATCGAGCCCTCTGACACTTACGGCCTCACTGATGGCGCGGCCGCCGCGCATGACCAGCGCGTGCGGACCGCCGTTAGGCAATAGGCAGCGTCGGCGGGCGTGCCGCCGAAGTTTCGCCTGCTTCTGCGGAGGCGCGTCCGTCACGTTTAACGTGATCTCACGTAACGTGGCTGCGTCTTATGGGGCCGGAGAAGAGCAGGATGGGAAACGTGCATAGCACATATGAGGAGCACGTGTGTTGGGGAGCCAGGTGAGGCGACGATCCTGCCTCATTTCATTGGGCGGTGTTGTGTGCTAACGTACTACGACAGATCTTCGGGCATAGAGAGATGGTTGCTGACTGTTACCTAACGCTGCATCCCTGCGGGGCAAGCAGGTCACCTCGTATGCGGCCATCGTAGCTGTTGGGCCTTAGCATGGACGCCGGAGACGCCTCATCAATCATCGCGGCGTGCACGACGTTCAATGTGCGCCCATGCGGCAAACCGTACGGGACTGGAATTTCCCGACCTCTATCGTTTGCGAAGGTATCAGCTCCTCAATTCACCTGACGGTACTCTTCGTACATGTGTGAGTCTATGTACCCTTATGAAGCCGCATATAACATCCTACAGAAACTACGAAAAACCCCTTTTGCCCTAGAAACCAAGTACCCTGATACCTGATATAACCGCAAAGAGATCATCCCAGCTCGTCGAAGATCAGGAAGAGCTGTCGGAGGCATATGCTTGAGATCTGAAAACGTGGGTGAGCGGACATATCTCTGTTCAACGGTCCTGAACACTCACTCAGCAAGTGCTTCTAGAGCGACGAGACGAGGATAGATTGCGTGTTCGGCGTGAAGCAGAAGCCGCTGCCCATCTGCGTGCCACACTCCGACATCGCGTTGCAGTTCCCGTTGCACCCCGTCTGGTCGCAGAAGCCGACGTCCTTGGTCGAGGACATGCACACCGTGTCCGCAGCGTCGAGACACGTCGCGCCGCCGGTGTAGACGGTGCAGGTTCCACCACAGATGTTACCAACGCGCTTAGTGCAGAAGGTGACCGTGGTCGTCTGGGCGGCGCGCTTGGCGAGGGGGTTGATCGGCTCGCCGATGAAGGTGAGTTCGGCGTCGGTGGTGGCGAGGAAGTGGGCCATCTCAGCCTCGGAGATGATGGAGGTGGAAGTTTGCACGTCGGCAGCGGGCTGTGTGCGGCGAATAATTGTGAGTGAAGAACTCACGCAGGCAAGCAACTTGACTTACTGAAACAGGGCTCGCGATTGCGGCGACGGCGAGGACAACGGCGGTGATGAAAAGTGTGAAGAATTGCATGTTTGATACGAAGGGTCGGAACGGTGGTGGAGAGAAGCTGGTAGGAACAATGAACTGGTGAGGGATGTTTGACTACTGTTTCCTCGTCGTCTTGCTCACCTCTTATATGCATCTCTCGCCGCGATCGCTTTGAGCTCGTTGAAATGCATTCGAATTTGCTAGGTAGAAAACGTTTGCTCCCGCACATTTTGCAGGTTGACACTTGTTCTAGAGCACTGGGCTCCAGCGCACCGGCCTATATCTCTATGCCCTGGCCCCGACCTGTATCAAGCCTTCTTCACGTTGTTCGGTGACATTTCGAGTTTTTTCATGCTCTTCGGGCAGCGGGAACTGATCGTCGATGCCCACAGAGACCATCGTGGCTGGTGTCCTTGATCCCGAACCTGTCGTGTGCAATGGCGTCAACTTGGAACCCGATCTGGACACGCTTTGAAAGCTGTATGGCAGTACTGACAATGTCGGAAGTTCGCACTTCCGCGCATATATCCTTCCTTCTGAGTGACCCGCGATGCATAAGTGCAAGTATAGATGCATTCGCGAACATTCACAGTGCCCAAATTGGCCAACTTTTAAAGTTGCGTCCGCGCGCTCCACCTAGACTCTATCCCCGTAAGTGCTTCTTCCCGTTTTCGCCGAGCTCCTCTCATTCGGTACTACATCTAGCCCCACTATCCGCGGCTGTTCTCAAGACAGCGGGTATCGCCAGTTCAAGGATTCGCGCTCCGCGGCTGCTTTCTATACTTGATGCTTCTTGTGGAGCTCCTCGCTATGGACTCACTACAGTATTCCACCGCTTGCCGACCGCCACCGAATGCGGCACTGCAGCCTGTCGAGCAAGCAGCCGGACGTTTACGAGCAATTTTTGCCCGGGCGATAGCTTGTACACCGACCCCGCGGTCCCCCATCTCCGCCTCCGCCGCGCGCTGAACCCTGCATTCAAGAAACCTTGACTCCCTTGATTTTTGCCCATCTGGGTCACTCGATTGGCTTAGCCGAGGCCTTCGGCGTGAAGCCTTCAACGCACACGCCGTATCGGACATCTCGGACAGAACAGGATCCCGGACGTCTTCATATGGTTGGAAGCCAACTCACGTCCAAGACGCTACTAGGTAGCTGTGCGGGATACCTTCGATATTCGGTGCCGTGAGACATCCTTACTTCCCGCAAAGGGCCATAACTCTCAACGAACACGAGCCTGGGTAAAAGGTGATAGGTGAAGTCCCTCACCGCGTTGTTAGTTTACAACCTATTGACGACCCTGAAGTCGCGCTGCATTTGGACAGTAGTGCGTGTACTAGACGCATTGCATCCGATGGCTCTACGTTTGGGTTTATTTTGTGTAGCCACTCCTCCGGGTGCAATACTCTTCGTTATTCCCTGAGGGAAAGCTTCAAAACAACGGAACGGTGTTTTCTCGAATGTGAGTCATCTCGAGTAATCATCATAGCCCTCCTCTCGTCCGCCGTGCACTTAACTCATTCAAAGCTCACAGTTCGTTTCGCAAAAATAGGCGCATGCATATCTGCCAACATACAACGACAAGGTGACCCGTCTACGTTATGACTCAATTTCCCTCAGATACAACCAAAGAAGATAAACCGAAGTGTCTGAATCGTATTTCGGCTCAGTGCGATCGTCGGTCCTGTTGGAAGATGGTAAGCCCTCTTACTCCGTGATTAGAACCTCCGGAAACTCACCCGACTACGAAACCTAGAGAGACGAAACAATGATAGACTGAGTGTTGGGGGTGAAGCAGAACCCGTTGCCCATCTGGGTCCCGCACGCGGACATAGCGTTGCAGTTCCCGTTGCACCCCGTCTGGTCGCAAAAACCGACGTCCTTCGTGGAGGACATGCACACCGTGCCGGACGCGTCGAGGCAAGTCGCACCCCCGGTGTAGACAGTGCAGGTCCCGCCGCAGATGCTGCCGACGCGCTTGGTGCAGAAAGTGACGCTGGTCGTCTGAGCGGAGCGCTTGGCGAGGGGGTTGAAGGACTCTCCGATGAAGGTGAGCTCGGCGTCGGTGGTAGCGAGGAAGTGGGCCATTTCAGCCTCGGAGACGATGGAGCTCGAGATCTGCGGGAGTGAAGCATCAATACCAAGTCCGTAGGGTTACGTCCGCCACGCCTTTTCATTTACCTTGGCGGTATCGGCGACCGCAAGTTCCATGGTGGACTGGGGAAGGTGACCGTTGGTGAGTTCGCAGGCTAGAACCAGGGAATGATTAAACTTACTGCAACAGGGCCTGCAAAAGCGGCGGTGGCAAAGGCGACAATGGCGAAGAGAGTGGAGAACTGCATTGTTGGAGAGGGTGGTTGTTGGTCGGGTAGTGGAGAGAGTTGTGAGGTGAGGATACTAGCTTGACTGCCGTCTCAGCGTCGAAATGCTCACTCCTTTATACTCGCTGCATCTAGGTGGTGTCCCTTTTGCACGTGGAAGGTACATCCATTTAGCAGTTGCAGTTCGCAAACACAAGACCGCATCCGTGCGCTTGGCAGGTCGACAATAATGCCCGAACGATATGCCGACGTGAAGGTGCCCTGGTCCCGACCCGCGTTGAGTATTGCCAGTACTGCTTGTTCGTGCGTCTGCCAATGATTATTGAGGCCTAGGCTGATCGTCCACATTCACTACAGACATCGCGGATAGAGTGCCTGCTTGCAGAACCACTGTTACTGAGAGGCGAGACTCGAGTCCCGACCTCGCTCGGACATGTCCAGCATGGGGAAACTCATGTGAGTACACCAAATGGATGGTATCCGTCGGAGTTGTACTACTCCGCGTATATCGCGGGTTGTCCAATAACTTAGATGCAATCCGCATTGGTCGACCGCTCGACCGGAAGTTAGCGTTTACTTCACCCGACGAGGCTCCACTCTATTCCCGTACGTGCTCCTTCGTCTCTCGTTGGCTGCTCACCTGAGAAAACCTGTAAGTATCCCCGGATCCCGCTCTCACCACGGCGGTAACCTGTGGCATGCGGCGCCCAGCCTCGAAGTCTACCCGCGAACATTCAGAGGATGCGCTCCAAACAGCTTCTTTCTGCCGAACACAGCCGAATGCGGCAACTCGCCGCTCTGCCATACAAGCAGCCGGACTCTTTCTCTCCATCTTCGCTGGTTTGACAGCTTGTGCTCTGGCCCTCGGCGTTCGCTCCTTCTTCGGGAGTCTGCGCCGAACTCTACAGTCGGTGGTTCCTCGCATCCCCGACGTCCGGCTTGTGCGGAGTGCAAAACCATGCCCCTTGCGGAGTTCAGTAGGGCAGTACTTGTGCTGCTACTCGTCGCAGACGAACCATGAAGTGTATGTTCAAGTTCTCAGGGTGTCACGCTTTACTGAGTAGTGTGAATAGGTCTCCCGCGTTGGAAGTCAAGGTACCGCATCTTCGTCTGGCTGCACTGCTCGGTCCTCGAGCCAGGACCGCTTCACATACACCTCGCAGATACAGCTGCATATACCAACCATCCGAATCTACATGACACGCTGAAGCCTGGGTATGTTCCCAACCAATAACCCCATATATCCAACCCATTCCCGAAAACGATGATGTCCGTCGTTCGTGTTCTCAATTGTTGTGACACAGGTGATCCTGCAAGGAACATTGTCAGTTAAGCTTATTTAAGTTGAGTTTCACTAAGAGCTGACCTAGCGTCAGCGTCTAGAGAGAGGAGACCAGGATGGACTGGGTGTCGGGGGTGAAGCAGAAGCCGTTGCCCATCGGAGTACCGCACTGCGACATCGTGTTGCAGTTCCCGTCGCAGCCGAGCTCGTCGCAGAAACCGACGTCCTGGGTGGCGGACATGCAGGTCGTGTTCGCGGCGTCGAGACAGGTGGCGCCTCCGTTGTACACCGTGCAGGTGCCGCCGCAGATGTTGCCGATGCGCTTGGTGCAGAAGGTGACCGTGGTCGCCTGCGCGGCGCGCTTGGCGAGCGGGTTGAACGGCTCGCCGATGAAGGTCAGCTCGGCGTCGGTGGTGGCGAGGAAGTGCGCCATCTCGGCGTCGGAGACGATGGAGCTCGCGACTCCCTGGGTGTTGACGACCTGAGGAGGAACTTGAGCACACTGCAAGGGTGTGTGAGACTGACTAGGACGCGACTCACCCCGGCGGGGCTAGCAATGGCAACAGAGGCCAAAGCGGCGAGGGCGACGAAGACAGCGGAGAACTGCATGTTTGTAGAGAGTTGTGGCGGGGAAGATGTTCGCAAGGTTGGTTAGTGAGCTGTGTTCACTGCCGTTCCCAGATTCCCTCGCTCACCTTTTATACGCGTTGCCCGCACATACAGCTCCCCTCTCATTGCGAAGGCTACGTTGGCGTCGAGGGGACGATGACCAGCCCAGTGTGCAAAAACCGGGATTTCGGGGGTCTAAGCGACGCGGGGGCACACGGCCGTAGGTGACTGCCCTGGGCCTGAACGACTATCGGCATGGCCTGCCTTCGACTCCTTTACATGACCTGGTTCGATGATACAAACGTATCACGGTTCTGGTGCCCTATGCGCTTGGTGCCTACGCCGGTGAATGAAGAGGCCGGGGCGAAGCTCGACTAGCGATCACTAGCTCCCGCGGACGACACAAGAGGAGGATGTGGTGGCACACTGGCACTGCGACGGCTTAAGCGGCTTAAGTGCAACGTATTCTGCATTGCGCATGCTTGTAATGAGCAGTCGTGTACATATCGACACCTTGGTGCGAGTTGAACTCACCTTGTTACACTCTCTAGACATGCTGGACGTGAAGGCTCTGTAGCGCATCGCTCCATCGTACAACGTGGCGGTTCCTGCGGCCGCAATCGCCGAGCACCGGTGGCTATAGGCAAGCCCCGGCGCGCCTGAGTCGGCATCCTCGTAAGCTCCGGCTAGGGCTACCAGACGTCTACTGTCGCCGCTGTGTTACCCCGCACTTTGCACTCAGAGTAGAAGTCCGCTGAATGTTCCTGTAGCCGACCGTGTTTCCTGTGCCTTGGTAGAGTCGGGTGGCCAGAATCTGGCCCTAGGTCGGCTGTCTGAAGCCTGAAAGCCCGATGTCTTCGCCTGTCAGATCCCACACGCACTGCACCCTTCAGGCCCGCCACTCCTGTACGGTGCGTACCTTGCTTCGCTAAAATAGCCAACGGACGCTATCAGCGCTCTTAGTCGTGAACCACATACCTACTGTCCTTGAACATCTGAAGTTGAAACGTCTGATTTCTCATGTGCCGGACAGGGACAGGCGTGTCGGCGATTCACAGCCTGGACACTGCTATCATTACCCTCGTGTGGTATCTGCCATACATAGGCCTAGCCGTGCGGATCCTACCGCCCAGCTGCGAGCCGCGGTGTGGCCGCAGCGGCAGGGGCCGTGCCTGTCTTACAGGAGACTCGCTGCCACGATTCGAGCTGTCCTGGGGAGAGCACAAGGCCGTCGATCTCCGAGTCGATTGCCGCGAAAAACACGCTGCAGACGCATATAAAAGCAACGTCGAGCGAAGATGGACAGCACACTCACCAAAACCAGGCTCGCCATGCAACACTTCGCATCCTTCTTCTTTGTCATCGCTGCTTTGATCGTCGCGATATTTGGTCTTCCTTCTCCGGTAAGCGCCGCCGCCGACTCGTATTGAGGCACCGTTTCATTTCTACTCTGACAGACCATTCAAGACGCTGGGAACGCGACCGTGGAGGTGGATACACCTCAGCTGACACGCTTCGTTCGATTTTGCGTACTGACCTCGCCATGTCATAGACCGTATCCGCTGGCATCGTTAGCGACGCCCAGCTCGACTTGTGGCTCGCGACGACCAACGCGACACTCATCTTCGTCGGAGACGACTCGGACGTGACATCCAATTCCCCCACGCGGCGCTCCGCGCAGACCACGCGGATCGTCTACTGCGCCTCGCGCGCGGGGAACGTCTGCGGCGGCGTGTGCACCGTGTACAGCGGCGGCGCGTCGTGCATTGACGCGCCAAAGACGATGTGCATGAGCGCGACGCGGAACGTCGGATACTGCGACAAGTCGGGGTGCACGGGCAGCTGCAACGATCTGTCGCACTGCGGAACGCCCCTTGACGGTGGGTTCTGCCTCACGGCAAACACGAATTCCATTGTGGTTTCGAGTATCTGATCCAGGACGGGTGAGTGTGCATATGACCGAGCGCGTTGAGAGACTTACGTATGGATTGGCAGCCGGATCGTTTGGCAGTTACACTAAAAGGGGCTGTAGCCAGCGTGGTGTATTAGGGGTAGACGCGGAATAGATGCTTGTATGGATACTCACAGAGGCGGCCATTCGTGTGTTTCGACGGTGGCGAACACGCTCAACTTTCCCGCTTATCGCGGCGATTCTGAATGGTTTAAAGCCCCCTCCGGTATATGCAATTTGTCGTTTTTCCAGCCGTATTGCTTCTTCATCCATGTGAAGTCGTTCGTGAACGCGACCGTGACCAACGCAGGTGCATGTGCCTCCCAAAGCTCCAACCAGACACGCTGACGATAGACATCCTCGCCGCAACCAAAGCTCTCGCACTCGTCCATCGCCTTGGCCGGACCATCCGAGAGGATGAACGTGTGTAGCTTGGGCATATGGGCAAACAGGTCTTCGCCCAGACGGCTGAAGGCGACATGCTAGGAGAAACGCAACCAGATCAGTTTCAGTGTGCCAAGGCTGACTCCAGGGCGTGGACTCACATCCGTAGGGTCTTCGTGCGTGACGAGAACGAGGCTTTCCAGAGTCTTGAGAGACGGTCCCGCCTGGACTACGAACGCGCGCATGTCGAGATGCTGCACCACCAGCGCCAGTTCACGGACCGGTGCGCTGGAGTTCGGGAGATAGCTCAGCGCACGCCAAACGGACTCCCCTGATATGTACCAGTCTGGACAGGAGTCGAGACCTTTCCGCCAGTAGCTCGCTTTATCTAGCTCGATTTTTCGGATCGGACGGGGGGCGGGGGAGTTTGGAGGGAGAAAAAGACGCAGAATGCCATGGGAGCAAACGAGTTCTTCGAGGCGGGGGAACGCAGTTGGGGGGAGGTATAGCTTCCCGCGAGTACCGCTGATAATGTAACTGGTGTTATCTCCGCTGGGATCCTCGCGGCCAAGCACCAAGGAAGGGTCTCCGTTTATGGTCAACGACCGCACCACGGGTGTTTGTGGCAGCCAATCCGCAGATAGGGCGTCCACCTCCAATTCGAGTCGCTCGAGCACCAGCCAGCCGGTCGTATCTCGCAAAACCGAACGAACTGGAGGCAAACTTCGAGCACTGAGGAAGAGGGTATGCAGCTGGTTTTGGTGAGACGATAGCAGCCTCCGAAGGAAAACGAAGAAAGGCCCAGAAGGAGAACTGCACAAATCAAGCCTGACCTCTACGAGACTGGGACACGTCGGACTGACCCCAAGGAGTGCCTGTTTGTCGCTATCGTCAATCCATGACGAAGATCTCGAGATCCCTACGTCGAGTGATTGCAGGGTGGCGGCAGCCGCATGGAAGAGGGAGAGACAAAGAGAGGGAGTGAACAGCGTGACATTGAGGGATTTGAGGTTTTGTAGGCCTGTCATGCGGGATACGGCACGCTTGAGGTGCTGATAGAAATCCTTGGCCTCAGGGCTGATGACGAAGTGTGTCTCGCAATCGCAGGAGAACACGCGCACATAAGTAGCTAGATCGCGGCCTTGAAAGTTGTCTTCGGGTAAGCCTACCAGCGTCGTAATGCACATCGCAGCAGTGACGGAGTCTTGGAGATAGATGGACGAGTACAACATAGGGGTAAGAACATCGTTGAGGTACTTGTTGGACAAAACTAGGGACCCCATGTCGGCGGTGGACTGAACGACGTCGCCAATTGCTTGCAGAATCTCGACAGGGAGACAGTTGAGTTGATACGGGGACATCTTGGCCGAAAATATACTGTGTAAGTGAAGCGTTTCAACGGCGATTATCGGTGCAGGCGACACATCCCGTACCACATAGATATCTGCAGAGACACAGTTGTTCAGCGTAGTACCACTGCGGCCGCGCTAGTTTGGATGCTGTGCGACCACGTCAATGTCGATTGTTGCACGAGTCGATATTCACTGCGTGAGACCCCTCTCTCGTACAGTAGGCTACGAGTCAGTAAGATAATGCCTAGTTCAATCTAGTAACCCGGGTGACTAGCGTCTGCCGTGCATCCCCCCACGAGTAGTTCGGGGGACACTTAGGATGTATCTCCGACATTATACGCGTAGACCTCGTGCTATCGTGCTACGAGTCAAGACGAGCAATGCTCGTGGAAATATCATACTACTGTCAACGAGAATGGATCGTTAGGGGGCTCACTACCTACGACGCAACGACCTAGTAAGATGTGCACGACCTACTACGAGACGACGCGGAGCTAGATTCACGTAGCCCGACCAGCCTGATCTGGGCGAGGCGCGAATTGCTCGCGTCACATCTGAGATTATATAAGGCCTTCTGTTATGGATGCACGAAATGAGAATATATTTCATTAGATGTAACTACACAATGTCCACAAAGGCCCCCTACACGACCGCCGCATCGTGTAGTGTACTATCAGTCTATCATCGCCCTGTCGAAGTTAGCACGCATATCTTCAACATGGACACCCCTGCGAGTTCGAGTCCCCATGGCACTTCATGTGGATACCTTCAGGCCGCCATCATACCAATGAGGTAACTTACCGGTTACGACTCACCTAAGTCGATAGATATAATGTACCATGCGGTCTTTCGTGACGAGGATGAGGTGGAGGAGGCACACACTCTTGGCGGTGAGCATACGAGCTTGTAGGAGCGAGATTATATAGACTATGGGCCATCGGGACATCCCCGGGTGGATCGAGTCTAGAGCGGTCGCGCCCGGAGGGAGAGCACATACCTAGATGTCTCGTGAGCCACATGATGCTCTAATGAGATGTGCATATCAAGCGTAGTTGGAAGAGTCCGGAAGGATGAGTGAGGCCAGCGCTTGTATCGTGGCTCGCCCTTCTCGACCGTCGGGCGAGACCCTTGACCCGGCCACTGATGAACTCTGAACCTGGAAGGCTGTAAGCCGCACAAAGAGAGGTCTTCAGTCTGTGAGAGAACGACTATGATTGCATAGTACTGTACCTGTAAGCCGCACAAAGAGAGGCTACAAGTACTAGTAAGTAAACATGTAAGAAAGCATAGGTAATATGGGACTTACTCTTCAGTCTGTGAGAGAACGACTGAAGAGCAGAGGCCTGCAGAGTCCTCCTTATATACTACGTGGGGAGGACGATGAGTAAGCGTATAGGAAGAGGGC